CTCATTTTAGGTGAAAATACTCCAGTGTCGCTCTTGGTAAACCAGTCTTTTAATAGAAGGTCATTAATTAGTGACGCTGATGTTATTAAAATTATTATAGGAACAAAACACTGAAGGTGAACAGTTTCCATCAGGTAGAACTGAGTGGCTCTGAAATCACTTTTTACAAACAAGCAAAGTTTCAGTTTAAGATTTATTTGCAACTTAGTTACAAGTTTAAGTTTAATAAAAACTTTAAACTCAGATTCACAAATGAGTTTCCTTTACTAAACTGCATCTGTAGGTCTCTGTTCATAAACATAAACTAGCCAAAACTAATTTACTATAAAATGAAATGTTTGTATAAATTCAGAAATAAAGACACGTCAGTCACAACTGCATATGTGTACATATTTCTGTATTGTGGTCTGTTTACACAAAGTTAGGTTAGTTCATCATTTATGTTGAATAGACTCACCCAAAATATTACACTGCTGCACTGACGTTGAACCGTGTGCTGCACTGGGTCGGTATGACCAACAGGTCAAAACAAGCTCAAAACAAAGTGACCGCTGTGCCCTGATTGGTGTTCTTGCTTTATGCTTCTTTCGTTTTGACATGTTATGTTTTTATACACACATAAACCAAAAGGAACAACAGATTTCTCATAATGTAGTGGAGTAAAAAGTGAGATATTAGACTTTGAAATGTAGTGGAGTGAAAGTAAAAAGTTGCCCAAAATGGAAAAACTTCAGTACAGATACACAAAAAAACTACTTAGTACAGTAATGAACTACGTTTACTTAATTACTGTCCACCACTGTTAATTTGCATTAAAGTCCACTGAATAATAAGCCTTAGTATGTAATAAGTCTGGAATGTTGAAGTAAAGCATGTTTTTGGCTTCTTCTGTAAGCTCACCATTTTGGGGAGACTTGGATTTTCTCCACTTTGTTGACCAGAATAGAGGTTTCAGTATAGCAGAGTTACACATGCACATCTCTTGTCCAGAGTGGCCTTAGGTTAGCATTTAGCACCATAGCCTATGATATAGTGGGGTTTAAGGACAGCACTGTCTCGTCTTACTCAGGCGTGCAGCCGTATGTGACGGGGCTGTGGTAGCTGGCCGCAGTCGGAGAGCTGATTCAGTCGCGTGCTGGTCTGTGAATGTGTATGTGGTTGGCTTTCTGCTGTGCTGTAAGTAGTTTCTCAGATGTAGATCGAGTCGGTCTGTGTCTAAGCTGTTTATCAGATGTTTGCGTGGTATGCTAACCTACAGAACAGTCCGGTTCTGTTTTCTGTAGCCTTTTTCTCTTCCTGTCAGGAAACTCAAAGATGATGAATGGCGTCCTGCACTGTTTTCACACTCAAACACAGACACACATACTAAGACGCTGCTACGAACAATGAGGGCCGTCACTGTTGATTAGATTCGTAATGGTAGTGAATATTTTGTCGATTAATCGAATGTGTTGTTTTTCTTTTAGGCCAAACTATAAACGTAGGCTTAACTGAACAACAACATACTGTGCAGAGCTTTTCAGAGATTCCAAAATTTGGAGAAATTTGGAGAATTCTTTGCTTTTTTTTACCCAGTCATTTCATGAACTTGTTAAACAGTACTGTGCAAATGTCTAAAGCACCTAAACACATTATTTACAGTTATTTAAAGTTATTTTCCTCAAGGAGAGGTTTGGAAATGATCACACTGATGTGCATAAATTCGCTACCTATGGTATTAATATCATTTATATTACAGTAAATACAAATAAAATGAAGAGGTAGTGATTTATGTACATCAGGTTACTTACAAAGTGAAGAATTCTAGTATTTGGCCAGGAAGTATTTATTTGCTGAGAAAAAAAAACATTTATATAACAAAAATACTGGACATCCTCAAGGAGAGGTTTGGAAAGGGACACACTGATGTACATAAAATCACTACCTATTTTATTAATATTATTGTAATATAAATGTTTGTTCCCAGATAATAAATTACTGCTTACTGCCCCGATATATAGTATTTAACAATACAGTTTCATAAAAGTGACAGCACTTTTATAGGAATTTCACTGTTATGTTAGTGCCAAGCTAAGGTGGTCTTCATTCACTTCCCACACAGGGTTACCACAGTTTGAATAATCTGAAGCAGTGATTCAAGTTGCATATTCCTTAGTTTGAATGTTAACGTTTTACAGTAAATCCTTAAGTAAAGCCTAACTTCACTTAAGTAAAACAAAACCTTTTACATCATATAAGCATGATTTATAGCAGCAAACATTACCATTACCCTGCGTTCACCCTGGCAGCGATGCGACAAGGCGGCTGGAGGTCATTTATTTTTAATGAGAGCTGCGATTTCCTGGGCGGCAAGAAGAGGCGTGAACATTGGCGACGCGAAGTGGGTGAAATCAGCGATGCGGCAAAGTTGAGCGGAATGAAATATTTTTGCAAAATGAGGAGGGAAGCGATGTGGTGATTACCAATAGGAATTGAGCAGAGTACACGCTTTATCTCCGTTTAGATAATTAGATAATTGTAATTTAGATAATTGTTCCTACTACAGGTGGTGGTGTGTTCGCCACAAACACACAGTAATCACAAAGACCAAATACTGTTTTCTCACATACTGACTGCACAAACACGAGGATTAAATAAAAAGAAGCACACAAGCGATTTCTCACCAGGATTTTTATCTTTAGCGGGAATGCGTCTGATTTGTTGTTGGCGTCAGTGAAACCATGGCATGTTGGAGTTCAGAAACACCCACAGGCAACGAGCGGTCAGCAATTTGGGGGACAAGAGGCAAAAAGTCGTAGTGTGAATCCAGGGTTAGACTTCATATGAAACATGCATGCATTAGAGAGATCCTGCTGGTGTGGGTTTCCTCTCTTTCAATGATTCACACACAAGTGGCCTAGAGGAGAATCTGCTGAACATGGCTCTGTAATGCCCTGTGGACATCCTGCTCATCGTTCAGAAAGCATCACTAAGCTGATTTATCGAGAGTATAAATGGAGGAATCCTGACAGCTTCACTAACAACACTGCTTTTTTTCTCCTTATACTCACCCTGTAGTCACAAAATATATAGTTTTTTCTTTTTGAAAACATGATAGATGAGCACATTCATAACGCACATCACCCTTCACTGTCCACTCACCTCCAAACTGTGTGTGTGTGTGTGTGTGTGTGAACACTGTACTCTCTGTAGTGGTCCTCATTAAAACACACACGGCTGAGTGCACAGGCCCATCACACTGTCTCACCAGTTTGCCCAGTATATTTCTCTGAGGTCGTCCCACCAACTCGCATTGTTCCTGTTTTCTCCACATCCTTCGTTTTTAAATGCACACGCATATAATAATATAATAATATGGTTTATTTATATAACACCTATTATGCAGTAAAATGCAGCTCAATGTGTTTTACAACACAAAGGCGAAGAGCATAAAAACATTAAAGAGAAGAATGGGGCAAAATTTATTAAAATTATCAATGAATAAATCCAAAATTCTAAAAGTAACATTAAGAATAATCACCAAAGATGAAATAACAAAAATGAAATGAGTAACTTCTGTTATTATTTGTTCAGCTAGACACACATTTGTCTCCCACTTTTATGTAAAGTATGTTTCAGACCAGAACCAAGCGGTTTTCTTTTTGTTTTGTTTTTTTATCTTTATGTAAACCACATTGTGAACATTGAGAGGATGCTGTGAATAAAATATTTGGTTATTAGCGGTGTAAAAATGCATCCGTCTGAAGCTGCATCATTTTTGGAAAGTTTGAATCAATTACAATAAATTATAATAACGTTCCAAATGCGCCCATTTTATGGGCCGAAATAAAATTCTCTGGCTGTTTTCAAAGGTAACAATAAAAAAAAAACTTGCATTGTGTTGTTTTCACTGTGTATATTCCAGAGTTTTGTAAACAGATCTTTAAAAAATCCATTTGTTTGTTCAGTTTGTCTTTAAACATAATTCAGAATCCCAACAAAATATGTTGAATCAGATTGAAGTGATTCATGCAGTTGTTTCCTACAGTACTGTAATTGAATCGATTCGTCATGAGGTATAATCGTAATAACGTTGCTGTTAACAACACAAAAAGACCATCTCCAAAAGAGTAACCATACAGGAGAAGATAAAACATTCTTAACCTTTAATGTAAGTCAGTGTAAAGAGATTTTATTCCGAGCAGTTTTGGAGCATTTCTGTTGATTCGTTCCTCCTGAGATTTCCACACAGTACAACAGCAATGATATGAAATGTGTCATCAAACACATTTCGGCTCTTTCTCAGGAGTGTTTCTGTAAGTGGTTTTTTTAAATTTTGTTTTTTATTTTGATCTACCTGTGCAGAGGGGATCGAGGAAATGTGGGGAATAGCCTCACACACACACACACACACACACACACACACATATACACGCACAGAGGCTGATTGTGTCTCTTTCGTGCGGTTGGCTGGTCAGTTGGAGTGATGTCACACCCCAGAGCAATGCAGTTCAGCTGCTGTTCCCTCTGTGCTGTAGAGCTCCACCTAGAGGCAGCTTGCAGTCCTTTCAGCACAGTCACACTCGAATAATCTGGGAATTTTTTATTTCGCCATAACTCAGTGTGTGAGATGTAAACAGAGTGATTCAGAGTGGTTTGGTGTGAAATGGTTCAGATGTCTTTACAGTGGTGGTGATAGGAACCAGGGGTCGCCATGACTACAACACAAATACAGACATTTTATTTACTCTCCGAAACCACCAGTGAACCTACACAAGTCTTCTGAGTTAATATGGAATGTTGATGATGGAAAATAGTGGAAAATCTGAAATAATAAGTTTTGTTTGGGGACTGTTTTGCCTCACAGCGCCCTGCATGTCTCCCTCCACCATGAATGGACTTTAAAAATATGTTTTAGATCCAAAACCTTCTCAAACCTGTCGTATAACAACGTCTCAGACATCAGGCAGAGTATTCATAGCCATTTAATGTAATAACTAACTGTCTCTGTCTCTCTGTAGGAGCAGGTGAAGCAGAGTGGACAGGAGGAACCTAAGGACACAGACACTTTGGTGCATGAGACGGACAGTCAGTACGGGACGTGGGAGACGGGGCTGCGCACGGACGACAGGTAATACCATATAACAGTGCTGTATGCAGTATTTTTGCAAGGGGGACAAGATACAGTGGAGGATCTCGAGGGGAATTGGAGCTCTGTTGTGCTGCTGCTGTTGTAAGTTTGCTGCTGGTTGATTTATCCGGCGTTCTCATGTGAGCGTCTGTTCAGCGTAGTCGGCTGAGGGAGCTGAAGATTTTTCTGCAAACGACATTTAAAAGCTGTATTTTAGCAAGAGCTGCTACAGTGACTGATTCTGTTAGAGCAACACACAGTGCACTGCAGCAGGGCTTCAGCCTGCACTGCTACAGAGGGGTCAAAACAGCCATTAATACTACTACTACTACTGCTAATAATAATAATGATGACAATAATAATAATAATAATAATAATAATAATAATGTTAATAATAGTAATAATAATAATGCCCAGATAGTGAGCGTGTATCGGTCCGCTGGCTTGATAAGGTCGGCACCCACTGACTGTTTTCCACTGCCTGTTCACCCTCGGACCACCCAGACTACTGTCCTGCTTACAAGCTCTAACTAGTTTTTGATCTCCTCACACAGATTTTAAATGCACAGAGACTTTTATTTTAGAAAATAAACTAAGACAAATATTACAAAAAACTAAGAAAAAATGGCTAGGCCTGATCTAAAATGATTTTATAGAAAATGTTGACACTGAACTAGATTATAATTATTTACAAAGTATAAATCAAGAAAAGAAGGAAGGAAAAATAAGTCATTTGGAAAATGAGCGATGATAAGTGGAATTTTATCTAAAACTCTGCTTAACCACTGTTGGGCCGCCTGGAAAATGCTGAGCAAAACACCAGTGGACCGCCAGCACTGCCACCAGCGGGCTGACAGTGGTCCACTATCCTCTTGCTATCAGGGCTAATAATAATAATAATAATAATAATAATTATAATTATAATTATAATAATGTTTTATTAATGCGTTGACTTTGACAGCCCTACTCACGTTGCATGTGAATGTTTATGGTAGTCCATCATCAGTAATTGCCAGGCATTTTCCGATAATTATTAAACATAGCTTTATTTATGAGCCTATATTGCTTCCTACATTAACACATTTTATCTGATACTGCGATAAAAACATTATGATTGGAAATAAAACTTTGGCTGCTGCTTTTATGGAGTGATATTAATAATTAGTTAAGGCTAATGCTAACTAGGCTAACTTCATGACATTTCTGGCTAATGCTAAGGCTTCAGACTCCGTAAGGGCACTGTGTGGAAAGGAAACATTTTTTGTTATAGCCAGTTTATTGTAGCCTCTTATGCTTCTTGGAACCACCGGTGGTTCCAAAACGCACTTCGGCATATTCTTCATAACTTTCGTATTTCATAAGCTACATTCAAAAGGTGGGGGTCGTATTAGAGCTGTAACTGTCTTCTTTACAGTCAAATAGATGGGAGATGTAATTTTAAACCCTTATAATAAAAGAAGCTGAACTCAATTTGTTTTCTACTGAAAGTCGACCCATTTTTCCACAAATCTGGGCTATAAACTATAAACAGATGGCGTCTCTTCAGTGATCTGCTCTGTAAAAATTATTTTTATAAAATAATACAAAGAGCGTCTAAGATTTTTGGCTTTCAGCAGTAAATTGTAAGCATATAGCAATATGTGTGATCATAAAACACATGTTCTGTTAATTTGAGAATGGCCATTGTAATTTTACAGCTTTGGGTTAAAGAACTCTTTTTTTGTTTGCAGTGTTCTTGAAATTTTTAATATATTTTTGATAAAATGTATTAAAAATGTTCATTTTTGACCAGATTCCACTGAACCTCCACGTGTACACACTTGTGGGCCATTGCCATTTAATAAGACAGTAGGCCAGCACAGTGATATCCATGCTCTTTTAAAAGTATTACTATATTTGTTAAGCTTTAACTCGTTTATTGAGGAAATTCAGTTTTTTTAATTAGGCTGAAAGTTAGAACAACTTTATGCTTGTGGCTCTAAAAGAGCTGTAAGGTCACAGTGCTCTTACACCAGGACACCCAACCTACTGATTCAGGAGAAAGCAGCTGAGGACAGCAGGATTCTGCTGAATCACTGCAGCTAAAACATTGCTGTGGCAATTTAACACCAGGATCGATAACTGCAGTTCTGCAGCAACACACTGACCGATAGTCCATCTGCTGGTAATGACCTTATGGCCAGAGACCCAGCTGGGGAGAACTATTGCATACTGAAAATGTCACTGAGAGATTGGATTATTGCTTCCTAGAATAATCTAATGTAATGCATGATGGCCAAGAGCGAATAAGGCAGATTAGATTGGGTTGGGAAATGAATGGAGCTGAGCTGAACCAGCGGCCAGAGAGCTTTATTTATTTCTTTATTTGTAAGCGATATGCAGTTATACTGTAGCTGATGTACACTCAGCAGTGACCTTTGGACTGTTTGGGTGGAGTTGGAGGTGTAAACAGAGCCTTATGCCTAAAGCTGAATTGGTCGTTTGCTGCCACCTTGTGTCCTCAGTTGAGTATTGCAGCATTGGAGTTACGCTCCTTGTTTTCTTAAGGTGATCGTTTGGCTAAAAATCAAATGTACCCTGATTTCCTGCCTCATACTAAGTATAGTCGATCAGCCAAGACATGTTTGGTGCTTCTTTAATTTTGTACTGGAGCTACAAGACTAATATAGCAAGTTATGAAGCCTATTAGCATTAGCATTGTACAATTCTGGATGCCTAAATTATCAAAGCATGTGGAGAGTCAGTATCTCTAATAGACTTGATTCTGACTCTGCATGACTCACTGTTATCTGTTAATATGGACTGTTCAGTCTTCCAGGTGGCTACGACCGTTTTTAGCAATGCATACTTTTGTTCATGTTTACACTTTACTTGAAGCCCACTTTATAACGTTTACATAACTATTTAATGTTATATGCAGTTATGACAGATTATGCACAGTAATTACAGTGTCATTTTACCACTACTATTAAATATCATGACATATGCAATATTTCTGATGTTGTGACGGCTATAATAGAGTACACAGCAAAAATTAGCCTGTGACATAAGCAGCCTTGACATGAAATGTTATAGCATCTACTATGACAGTTATGCTTATGGTAACATGACATTGTTATATTACTGACCAAAATCTGTTATGACATGCTTATGTCAGTATTATGTCACATGGTTCAAGTAGTGATCTGTTCAAAAAGGGAAACTGATGCTCCTTTGGTCAAGACCAGATAACAAAACATTAACACAGCATAAGTATCATGAATAAAGAATAAGAAATTGCCAATGAATATACAGTAAATGATATTAAATAAAGAAAATAAATGAGCCAGTCAAGTATTAGATTAACCAGTGATAATGAATGACCACTGTTAGAGGCCTGTCAGAATAACAGGGCTATAAAAACCAGTGACTACTGTTAGATGTATATTATAATGATACATTAGTGTCAATATATGAATATTCAACCTAGAAATATCCAGCCAGGAGCAGCTCTGTGGTCAGAAACTGATCACTGATGAGAGAATGGCCAACACAAACTGTACATCAATAAATGAGCTGTCGTCTCTAACTGTGCACCAGCAAGGTGGAGCTGTTTCTCCACTCTGTAACTGCACATCTACATGGTTTACTTATATGGATTATGTGGTAGGTGTTTCTAATAAAGTGGCCAGTGAGAAAAAAGGTTGCACACTTAATGAAACATGGGCCTTTAGTATAACATGGCTATGGCTTGTGTTTTCATCAGAGAGAGTCACAATACAAACTCTACACAGATGCTCTATACACCCTCAATTAATCAGTCACATGACTTAATTCACAACTAACTCATAAATACTGAGATACAAAACAACAATACAAAAAAAACTAGTATGCAGAAACATCCAATGATATCAATACCAATTTACGTAAAAGATCTAAGGGCAGTATCTATAAACTGGACCCTAGGGGGCGCCAGTCTAAACATATGTCTGTAGAAATGGGCTAAAATCAACAACTTCACTTAATCCAGGAAAAAAATAGCTTTTAATTTATAAACCCCAAAAGTTTCCCTTTGGTTAAGTGGTTAAGTCTGTAACTGAACACCTGCATACTTCACTTATATGGTTGGTGTTTCCGATAAAGTGGCCAGTGAGTTTCAGTGTTTCATGTGGTGTTTCCGTTAGTCTGGACATTCCTCTTTGTTCCTAACACTCTCCTCTCGCTCTCTAGTCTGACACCAGCTACCCCTTCGTCTGACGGCAACCTCACACCTTCTCCACGAAAACCCACTCCTACCCACACGCCTGAGGAAGCCACCCCTGCGGACACTCCCACCAGCCCCGCCCCTTCAGCCGAGGAGCCGCCAGAGCCCTTCTCTTTTCCAGAGGTGTGATATCCGCCAGCACAGCCTAAAAATGAGATCACAAATTCACGAAAATGTGACCAGTATTTGTGGCGGCTTGAAATGTAGTTCAGTCGCTGCATTATTAAAAGTGCAAATCGTTTATTACTGTAAGTCTGAAAGCCATGTGTAACCCAGAGATACATTTCAGCTAACAGGACAATATGGTGCTTATGATGTTTTCAGATATAATAGGCTCAGGTCTTGTTCAGAGTCACGCATCACTGCAGGATGTTCTACCAAAAGAAGTTTGAGAGCAAAAGAAGCAAAAGAAGTTCGTTTTACTTCTTCTTATCTTTCCTGACTGTTTGACTGTGGAAATATGATATATCAAAAGCTAAACTACTGACTTACTAAAGTCAAGTGAAAGTTTATTTACATTGCACAAAGCAGCCTTACAGAAAAATCCAGGTCTTAGCCTCCATAAGTATCGCCAGTGGCTACAGTGTTAAGAAAAACTCCCTGAGAGAAAGAGGAGAGGAACCAAGACTCAAAAGGGGAACCCATCCTCCTCTGGTCGACACTGGATAGATGTGGTCAATCGCGAAGCAGCACAGATTTCATCACCAACAAAGTATAAAAAAGGAATTAGTAACTAAATTTAAAATGCAGAGGTGTAACTGAGTCAAAAGTAGTTCCTTTACTCACTAACATGCTTGAGTAGAAGTAAAAAAATTGTATTTGAAAGTACTATATTAGTATTGAGTACAAATCCATCAATGTTCTTGAGTAAATGTACATAGTTATTAACCTACTGTCCAGATTGTTTTTCCCTCGTTTTTAGGTAATAATTCGGCTACACTCGAGATACAGGCTCACAATTATTACATATGATTACACAAACAAACGTATTGGAACAAACGTGTGCAAATATTGCTACATATATCGAATCAAACGTTTTAGCTGTGAGATTCTGGTGGCACTGACTTTTTGTTTATTAGAGAATTCAATTAATTAATTAAATTAATTTATTAATGTTTATTAGAGAATTCAACATAAAGTCCAGTATTTTAAACAAAAGTTGCCACAATTTAAGTCTGTAGACACGGGCTGATATGCTAGTTACAGTACAGTACAATACAATATGCTGTATTGTTACATACCTAATAAGTACACAAGTAGTTGTGTAGTTATGTAATGAATTACATTCGCATTTGATTTGCAATCTGTATCGACTTTTCCTGTTTGAAGGAAGTTTAGAACACTTTCCACACAATTGCTGCTTGTTTTCATGGCCTTAAAGTGAGAAATTATTCATATAAAGTTTGTCGCATTAACTTACTGTATTTTTCCTCTCCCTGTGTTAGACCCCCACCGCTCTGTTGGACTCCAGCGCTCTACGCTCCAGAGCGCAGCTCAGTAAGAGACTGAGCCGCAGAGCCCCGCCCTCCAGAAACGCCCGCCACAGCGCAGCGCTAACACAGCTAAACGAGGGGTCGGCGGCGGGAGGTGAAGAATGGCGCTACAGAGACTCAACAGGTAAACCACGTTTGACAATCACCTGGACACAAAGTAGAGCTGCCTGTGTGGAATGACTGTGTGGATCATATGAACATTATAGAGGTTTTTAAATGAAACAGTAGAAGCCATATCGCCCCCTACACTTCCTGTAGTGTATTACAGTCTGTCAGAGTGACTGTGTGGATCATATGAACATTATAGAGGTTTTTAAATGAAACAGTAGAAGCCATATCGCCCCCTACACTTCCTGTAGAGTATTACAGTCTGTCAGAATGACTGTGTGGATCATATGAATATTATAGAGCTTTTTAAATGAAACAGTAGAAGTCACCCAGATTCCACTCACACTTCTCTCCTTTCTCTCTGCAGAAGATAAGACGGACTCTAAGCCTCAGGAGGATGAGGAGTCTGACTCGGAGGAGCAGGCTCGGGACCCCCGGACGCCCTCTTCCTCCTCCGCCTCTTCCCAACCCCAGAGAGTCTCTCTCTTCCCTGGCATGGACCCTTCCGCAATCATGGTGAGTTACAGGAGAGATAGAAGATCGAAAGTACCTTCCTTTAAAATATTGTTTCAGAGGAGCAGTGAGCACAGTACTGTGTGCAAACACTGTACAACAAAAAATGAATGAGTAGACACTACATAATGTACAACCCCTTTCCAAAAAAATTGGGAAGCTGTGCACTAATAACAAGCTGAGGACACATTGTCCATGATTACCAAAAAGACCACAGGACACTTTTCCATTTCAACTCAGTCCATTTTAAATGAGCTCAGGCCCAGAGAAGGTGGCAGTGTTTCTGGATCCTGTTTATATACAGTTTCTTCTTTGCGTTTTAGAGTTTTAACTTGCATTTGTGGATGCAGTGATGCGTCTCTTGCTATTTTATGTTGAGAAACGATATTCTTGAATTGTTGCACTAATTGATCATGCAGTCTTTCACAGAGTGGTGAACCCCTCCTCATCTTTACTTCTGAAAGACTCCGCCTCTCTGAGGTGCTCTTTTATACCTAATCATGTTACTGAACTGTTGTCAATCAACCACCAGGTGTTCCAAGCCTAATCTTTAGCATAACATGCTGTAGAATAACACAATTGTTTTTTTTTTACGCAGAGAATAAAAAATAATACAAAGAACAATTTTGTTTACATAATTAGTTGAATTTCAGAAGTCTGTATCAGTCTCGGCCACAGAATCACGAGCGCTGAAGACATTGTTACTGTCCTTTTTTCCCATTTTTACTTTTCTGCTTAACGTGAGATCAGCAGCTGTCTTTTACGCTATGGACTGATAGAAATGCAAAATGAAAATGAATGATCCAAAAAATTTCATTACATTAAAGTTAACCCTTTTTTCTCCTCCTATAAATTTACCACTTGAAAGATTCGAGGTTTTGTTAATACAGTAATTATAATACGTATCATTAAAAATGTGTAAACTATGAAAGTGTGTATTTTAAAGCTGATCGAGTTCTTGTTTGTGTTCAGGCCCAGCTGAAGAAGCGAGGTGATGGAGAGACTCAGCCGGACGGCCCTGCCCCCTCCTCCTCTCAGCTCTCTCGCTCGCCCTAAGTCTCCCTTCCTCCCACGAGCCGCGCGTGTGCTGCCCCCTGCTGGCGGCAAAGAGAACGGGTGAGTGAGATTTTCTCAGTGTTTCTCAGTCCCTGTGCTGTGTATTGTGATGCTTTCCTGCTCTGACACACCTGATCCAGCTAATCTAACCATTAACAAGGCCGTCATGAGCTGAAGTGAACACAAAAAACATCAGTCTGTGCAGGACAGGGTGTCCTTACTGTCTGCGACGGCCTAAACCAGCTACAGGATTCAGGGCTGGCTATAATAAACACATGCTCATAAATAGTGCTGGCCAATATGGCCAAAATTTTCCTTGTCCTAAATATTAATTAGTACATTTATAGCTTGTGATCTTGTAGTATACAAGAATATTTGGGTATCGTGGAAGCATAGTAATAAACTTTTCCATATCGCACCTTTAGTAAATTTAAAATGCAACTTAAAATGCTTTACAAGGAGAAATGCATATGAAAACATAAACAGCTTAAAAGAAAATTGAGAAGGTAAAAGGACTGAATAACAAAGGGAAAATAAAAATGAAATAAAATAAATGGTCACAATACTAATAAATAATAAAGTAGTAATAACAATGTGTGTAGAAAAGTAACTGAAGCTCAAAAATCTATAAAAAATAACAATAATAATGTTACAAATAAGCAAATTACATTAAATAAAATACATTAATTGGCATAAAAAACCTTTTTTACCACTGCATAATCATTTTATGGAAAACAGATGTGTGTGATTGCAGCTGTCTGTGAGTGTATGTTCTCGTCCACACTGATGCTGTAATGTGAACTCTCTGTTCTCCCACAGGGAGGCGTCTTCACCACAGTGGCTGAAGGAGCTCAAAACCAAGAAGCGGTTGAGTCAGTATGAGAACGACAGCTAGGCCTCCACAAACAAGTAGGAGACCATCTGCATCTCTTTAAAGGAGTAGTGTGGTGAAAAATCTCATTTACACAGTTTAGCTCTCATGCATCTCCGCAAGATCTCCATCTCAGCCAAGTCGTGTTTGGCATCTGCTTCTTTAGTTTTAGCACCAGAGCTACGAGGCTAACAAGTAGCTTATAGTTACAAATTAGCTTGGTGCTAACTGCAGGCCTAAATCATCACAGGCTCATTTCAAGCTGTGTGGTATTATTCTGTATCTCTAATAGAGATTTTGTGGTTTCTGACTCACTGTTATCTATAAACATGGACTTAATTCAGGCTTTTAGAGGACGGATAGTGTTTTAGCTACTTTTGAGTGAGTATAGCCGAAACAGAGCCACCTTTAGGGTCAGAGTTATTGTAGTTTACATTTTAGATTTCAGTTCAGTTTCAGTTTAAAGAGGGCATCAATAGTACAGACTGAAAGCCGTGACAGCAGGTTGGACAAACATGAATAAAAATGCCTGATTTTTGTGAATATATTTATACACACCGGTCAGGCATAACATTCTGACCAGCTCCTTGTTTCTACGCTCATTGTCCATTTTATCAGCTACACTTACTATATAGGTGCACTTTGTAGTTCTACAGTTACAGACTGTAGTCCATCTGTTTCTCTGATACTTTGTTAGCCCCCTTTTACCCTGTTCTTCAGTGGTCAGGACCCCCATGGACCCTCACAGAGCAGGTACTATTTGGGTGGTGGATCATTCTCAGCACTGCAGTAACACTGACGTGGTGGTGGTGTGTTAGTGTGTGTTGTGCTGGTACGAGTGGATCAGACACAGCAGTGCTGCTGGAGTGTTTAAACACCTCAGTGTCGCTGCTGGACTGAGAATAGTCCACCAACCAAAAATATCCAGCCAACAGCATCCTGTGGGCAGCGTCCTGTGACCACTGATGAAGGACTAGAGGATGACCAGCACAAACTGTGCAGCAGCAGATGAGCTATCGTCTCTGACTTTACATCTACAAGGTGGACTGACAAGGTAGGAGTGTCTAATAGAGTGGACAGTAAGTGTGTCTGATCCACTCGTACCAGCACACACTAACACGCAGTGCTGAGAATGATCCACCACCCAAATAGTACCTGCTCTGTGAGGGTCCATGGGGGTCCTGACCACTGAAGAACAGGGTAAAAGGGGGCTAACAAAGTATCAGAGAAACAGATGGACTACAGTCTGTAACTGTAGAACTACAAAGTGCACCTATATAGTAAGTGGAGCTGATAAAATGGGCAATGTAGAAACAAGGAGGTGGTCATAATGTTATGCCTGATCGGTGTATAAGCGGTCATTCATGCATTGAAAAAAACAAAAAAACGTTTTTTTCTTCTCTGAAATTATATTTTGTTTTTATTCATGTGGTTTCTTGGTGGGGGGACCTCCTTCTTCACCACATCAACATTTTGGCCAACACTGTTTTCCACAAAAAAGTCTGATTCACTGCAGTTAGCTGTGTCTGACCAGCCAGTGAAAAAGAATGCAAGTGGCCACTCTGGCCACAGACTCTGCATTTAGGCTGAGGAGCGAATTGTGTAAATTGTAAAAACTGTGTTTTTTCTGATCTCCATACAGTTATACACAAAAGTCTTCACGCCCCTGGCAAAATTCCCTGTTTTGTTGATTTTCTAAGTGTAAATAAGTGAACACATCCTCTACAGAGACACACTACTTTTTTGGTAAAAGTTCCCGTCAAATTAACAGAAAACGTGTTTTATGATCATAAACATTTTGTTATATGCTTACTGCTGAAAGCCAAAAATCTTAGACGCTCTTTGTATTATTTTATAAAAATAATGTTAACAGAGCAGATCACTGAAGAGACGCCATCTGTTTATAGTTTATAGCTCAGATTTCTGGAAAAATGGGTCGACTTTCAGTAAAATGTTCAGCTTCTTTTATTATAATGGTTTAAAATTACATCACCCATCTATTTGACTGGAAAGAAGACAGTTACAGCTCTCATACGACCCCCACCTTTAGAATGTAGCTTATGAAATATGAAAGTTATGAAGTAAAGAATATGACGAAGTGCGTTTTGGAACCACCATTTTGGTTCCAAGGAATTAAAAAGGTTAATATACCGAATTCAACATACTGAGGGAAGAAAGTGGTATAAAATGTGGCCTGTGCAAAAGTTATGGTTATATTTGTTCCTTGCTTATTTTGCCGGGGGCTTCCCAAACTCTTGCAGACTGTTCCTCAGTCCCCGTTTTCCCTCTCCGTCAGTCTGATTTGCTGTTTTTCTTTCCCAGGATGCCTTAAAACTGGAGTATCTGTAGCTGAAACTCGATGACAGAAGCCTTAACCTTTGACCTGGAGTCGACGGGAAACCCACTGCTGCTGATTACATCATCGTTCTGCTCGTGTTTGACTGGTGGTCCGCTTTCTCTGTGCTCCGCCCCCCTCCCAGCCCCCCCAAACCCCCCCGCCCGAGGTGTTACACGTGCATGGTGCCTTCCGAGGAGATCTGTGACCGACGAAAATAAAAACAGTGTCTGTCGTGTTGTGTGGCTGTTTGTCCGTCTGTGTTAGCTGTGTCTCCTCTGTTCCTGGATATGTTTCTGTTTTTTTAACGCATAGAGCCACTTTATTTACAGGTGAGCTACAGAAATGGGTGGGGCTTCTTTTAAATATTCAGGAATATCTGAGCTCACGGGACCACGCGGCGTTCGATAGTGACCCGAAAGTGCTTCGTATGACTGGAGGACTGCCCATTTACTCCATCGTTCACGCCGATTTGTTTATTTTTGCATTTTTCTGTTCACTGTAGTAAATTTTTTTGTTTGTTTTTTGTTTTATTCTCCGTGTTTGTTGGGTGTAGGATTACAGACACGGTTTAATTTCTCGTTTATAATAGTCCGTAAATCATTGCTGTGCTAACTGGCAGACAGTATAGACAGTGTATTTAGTAAATAATGCTAAATGTAATCAAGAAATGTATTTTTGATGGTTTGAAGGAGTTTCTGTCAATCAAAACACAAGAACAAGATATATATATATATATATATATATATTTTTAAACAATAAAAGTCCTCATTAGCCCGTCTCAGTGGCGGATTCTTCTTCTAAAAGGTTTCTTTTAGCATTGTATGGTATTGAAGCAAGATGCGCGTTTGCCGGGAATCCCCGATTTGTCCAGATTGACAGGGTTTGTATGTACAGATTAAGCCAGACAGGTGTATTTTACATTAGTCAACACATTTAGACAAGCATTCCAGCATATTCTCTGTTAATTAACAGACATTTAACAGTAAAAGCATCACAGAGAGCTTTGATTTATGAACATCTTGCGCGTGCATGTACAATCACTTCTTTCACCCTCACCCGCAGTCTTATATCCGAAAGCTAGTCTTTGTTTGCTTTGACGAAGGGCCAAATATGAATTGCACAATCAGAATTAAAATGGGTATCGGTCGTTCTCCCTCTAATTCACAGCGTGTTTGGAAAAGGCGAAGGGCGTCGGATGGGAACCCAGGGGTGAAACACGGTGTTCTGTTTGTATTTTCACTGTATTCTTCGTGTCCTGCCTGTTTGGTGTTTACTGACCAGATTAAGGGATCGTTGTAACTGTACTGTAAGCAACACTGCACATTTGTTGCCACTCTGTCAGTCCGGTTCATTTTTAAAATTAACCCACATGAATTTGCTGGTTCGTGGAATCGCCCCCCCCCCTCACCCTCCAACAAGCACTTTCCATCAGTCGATGGACATCAGCACTGACCAGTAGGCTGCCACTTTATAAGAACGTGTTCTTTCACATGTAACCTAAAGCCTGCGTCGTGTCAGGATGTGGAAAGTGGAAAGTGCAGAGCGGCGAACGAGTCCTGATTCTTAGACGCCCGCTTCTTTCCTGTCTGTCTGCAAGTGTTTGTCCATTCAAGGGTAATTTTGTCTTCTTTTTATTTTTTAAATTCACTTTAAAGATGTATATTGCACTGTGTTGCATTGAAACCAGTGTCTGACTGTAAATTCATAATAAAATTTACAATAAATTTATTTTCTTTGCTGCCACTTTCAATACAAAGAGTTACTGTCTGTTTTATTGTTGTGCGCACGTCAGAACGGCCATTAAGCACAAGGTATTCATTTTTTAGTGGCAGGAAAAGACAGAAAACACACTTTACAGAGAATAACACAGAAACCTCAACAGCTACATCTAATATCAGATCTTCCATTCTTTTCAGGAGACTCACAGACACACCTCCAAAGTTCAGTCTTAGAAGCTGGTTGGTCATTTTCTGAAGTAATCAAACACATTCAGTGGTGTTGAGGTCTGGACTCTCATTTTTCGGAACACAGTCAACCTCGGCTAGGTTAGCTTCAGTGTGCTAATCAGCTAGCCATGCAAACTTTGTAAATGCAGAACGTTTTCTGTGACGTTTGACCTACATAGAATTAGTGAATAATTTCTTTGTCTGGCTATAAACTTTACAACCATGGTGTGAAGGTTTTTTGTCACTATCCATGTAGCCTTTAGCATGCTAACTAGCAGAGTAATGAAGTTTATCAGATGGAGTAGTTTTCTGTCTAAAACTCAGTTGCATTTTAAAGTAGTTTGCTTTTATGGCTTTTAAACAAATGTCCATCATTTTTTGAGGTTTGTAAAGGAAAATAGATCATGTTGCAGTGATTTCTGGGTAAGTTCTGCTGCTGAAGTCAACACTCATGTTTGCCGAAGGTTCATGTAAACTTCCCTTACACTAATAAAGTGACGGAACGACCCTTTAGGTGACGTTGTGGGTTTCCTGAGGGGAAATGACGAGACAGAGTTGACAAAGCTTTGTTAAAACGGTATTGGAGTGTATGGCCAAGGGTACTTTAACAAATGTATTCGTTGAAAATATTTTTAAAATGCCTTTATTTACAGTGCTGTGAAAAAGTATTTGCCCCTCACCTTATTTCTTCTATTTTTGCTAATTTGTCACCTTTAAATGTTTCAGATCATTCAGCTAATTTTAATATAAGAGCAAAACAATGTGAGAAAACATAAAAAGCAGCTTTAAAATTATCATTCCATTATTTGAACGAGTCCTTTCTGTGTGGGGTTTGCATGTTCTCCCTGTGTCTGGGTTTCCTCCCACAGACGTCAGCCCAATTGGACACCCTACATTACCCCTAGGGGTGTGTGAACAAATACGGCTGTGTGTGACTGGTGGCCTGTCCAGGGTGTTTTCCTGGCTTCCGGCAAATGACTGCTGGGATAGGCTCCAGCACCACTGTGACCCAGAAGGATAAGCGTTTTAGAAAATGTGTGTGTGTGTGTGTGTGTGTGTGTGTGTGTGTGTGTGTGTATCACTCATGTGACAATTGCCCTGTTATGCCTAATAACTGCTTGTGCCACCCTCTGCCATCAAACTACCGTGATAACTGTACATCATTATGGAGGAATTTGGGCCCCTTATCTTCGCAGAACTGTTTTAATTTGGCTACTTTGGAGGGATTTCAAACATGAACTGACCATTTAAGTTATTGAGATGGGATTCAAGTCAGGACTTTTGTTGACCTTCAACAAAAATATGCCCAAGAAAGAGAGATATTGTGATTATGACACTGAAAGGATAACTGAATTGTTATGCAGGCCAAAACGTGTCTTTCAGAAGCTTTTCATGGAGCTGGATATCATGAAGATCTGCCCAGGAGCAGGTTTATGGAAGTCCAGAGGGGCCATAACCAACATTATTTTGAGATGACAACACAAGTCGTGCTCTCAATATAACAATCCAGAATATTATAGCTGCAGCTCATGGCCTCTCTGGGCTTTAGTATAGTTTGGAGAAATGAATGAGCAAATTAGCAGCTCATCCAGCTTCTCTCTTTTTCATATATGCAACAAGTAAAGCAGGACGATGTTGTGGCTGTAGGGAAGGCAAGTGATCAGGGCGTCCCCTGCGGTCTGCATTCAAAACAGAGGTTAACAATAAAATGTTGTAACTGGTTTAATTTTATTTTAATCTGTTGTATTCGTAGCTGCTGGGCTTGTGCCGCCACAAAAATTATGTTTAAAGTTCCAAGTTTAAAAGTTTTTAAATGATTATTAAAAGTTTCCCTATGGCAAAATGAATGGAAATTGAAAATGTTATGAAGGTGTCCAGCAGATGGCGCTGGTCTGCGTTTTCCATTCCTGGAATAAACAAAGACCAGTTTATTGTTTGTCATGAAGGAAGCTAAACGCAGTAGACATGTAGAGTAGATTCAGGCATGTGAGGGAAGTTTAAAGGTGAATTCCACTGTTTAATTAAAGTTTCTCCATAACTAAATGATTCAAAGTGGTTTGGTGTGAAATACTTCATTCTAGAGAAACCTACCAAGGCAGAATGGGCCCTTTTCTCACATTCTGTTAAGAGGAAATAGCAACAAAGCAGTGAACAACACATCTGGTTGGCCTGTGTGGTGTCCAGTGTGGTGCCCAATCTCACATGCTCCAGGCCAGACCTGATTTCACTTCCCTTTTCTGGTCACTGTTTTTGCAGCGTCATTGGATGAATCATACCCATCACAGCCGTCAACAGCTCTGGGAGGAACCTCAGAAGGCGTAGGTAGATGTGTATGTGCTTGACTTTTTGTGAACTTCAATATATCGTAAATAAACACAACAAAGCTAGCACAGAATTAAATCAATGAAGTTTTGCAGTTTACTGTATTGGCTTGCATGATAATAAAACATGCTAACTTGCTGTCCCTGGCCGAGGGTCCTCGGGAAGAGAAATCAGGGCGGGGGTGCGAGATCAGGCTTCACAGCGGTCGTTTAAAAAAATGGAAGTAAGGCACTTCACAAGTCTTGAGGACCTTCTTTACATATCAGGCAATTTCCAAAAGAATATACACACAACACACACACAAAGAAGAATAAGGGATACAGGCTGTTCCTCATTACGTTTAAGACTTTCAACGTAAGTTACTTTAATACAGCCAGCTAACTTAGCTAACCTAGCGACAGAGCTGGCTTATGAGGAGCCTGGCCGCTTCCTATTTCCCCCTTATATCAAAAATAGGACTGCTAAACAGCAGAGGGCGCCCGCGAGCGTGTCCTCAATGAATGGGAGTGAATGGAGCTCAATGGCTAAAAGCTAAAAGTTAAAATAGTTTCTAATCTCTCGCCCAGAACGTTTCTTTAATTTTAGAAAGTAGACGGATGAATTTCACTAAAAAAGCAAAGAAATCTCACCTGTATGTTTCCTTTTTTCTACAGTAAACGGGTTTTGGGCAGCAGAAGGCGGGCATTACTGCTGCTGAGTGCTGATTGGTTGGCGAGAGGAGCAGCTCATTGGCTGTTCGCGCTCACTGACATCGTGAATGTACATGAGGTGCCGTGTTAAACTCCTATAACTCGAGTTTAAAAGCTCTTAAAAATATAACAGCAGTGTTAAAATGTTTTATGCTGTTCTGTTCAGGAAATGATTGTATTATTTTACATTAAAAATGTTTAAACATTTATAAACTCTGATTTTGCTCAAATGCGCCATATCAACCCATTCATTTTGGACTCACTCAAGAGCGCCCTGAGTGGGAATTCTGCTCTCTACAAGTTCTCTGCTAGCTAACAACCTACCCTAGCGAGCCAACTTAGCCAACCAGACATTGTTGTTTTCATATTTATATATTTTTAATATTTTATATGTAAATATACTTTCAAATGTTGTGAATGAGGAGGTGATAGTGAAGGCCAGATCATACAGATCAGCTACCAGCACTGACCAACACATGAGTTTAAATCTGTGGTCGCAGTGCTTTATTAGGTCATTTTTTATTAAGTCGGCCTCTTAGTCAAGTGTTCTGTTCCACCTTAAATGGTGCTGCAGTTACATTCTGGTGCCTTCACATCACCTAAGCTGACTGCTGCATTGTTTAAGGTGGAAAGGAAATTTGAATGAGAAGCTAAAGATACGTTTACTTCCTCATTGACACTCAGTAACTACTAACACAGATACACAGTATCATCCGTTCCATGTGGATGCTCTTAAATAAACAGATTCTTGGGCTCTTGAAAGTTATTCCAAAGGGAACAGCAGGGTTGAGCACCACCTCTGAGCATGAATCCACCCGATGAAGTCATCACTGTCAGCAAAGTGACGGCTGCAGACAAGAACGCCGGAATTTACTCTAAAATTAGGCCCCTCTACTCTTTGGGATCTATTCTGATCTTAACATGGTTGGTTGGAAATGTATGAAATCCCAGGTGTGGCTGTTTTTGAGTTTTGGCACTGAGGAACACAACAAAACACCTTAAAGCTTGACTGTGCCTTTTATTTTGGTTCAACCGGAAACAAAATTACTTACAGAAACTGATGGAAATGTGAAAAGGCTCCATTGTTCACAGTGGTGGTGATAGGAACCGGATGTCCACCTCTAAAAGCTCCCTCACAGAAAGTTACTACATGAAATGGTTATGAGTTCACTGCCTGATGACTGAGACACTGTTTTAAGAGGTTTTGAGAGGATTTTGGCCTAAAATATACTTTTTAAAAACCATTTATGGCGAAGGGATTCATGCAGAGTGCAAGGAAGCAAAATAGTCCCGAAAGAAAATTTCCTATTTCCACTGTTTTACCTTCATCCAACATTCAGACTCAGAAGACATGTGTAGGTTCATTGGTGGTTTGGATAGTAAATAAAATGGTTTTAGAATAAATATAGCTTTATCTCTTTCCTTTGTCAAATAGCATAATAAAAGGCCTTTGTGTTGATATTCACTTTCTATTAGAGTGTTATAGACGGATTGCCTGATTTTCTTTAAGCTGAAACTGCCATTTTTAACAGTGGGTGAGTGGGTGTGGGAGCTTGAGGGTTAACAGGCTTTGCTGATGCTGTTGCAAAACATGCAGAACAAGTAAAACCACTTCACGGCAAGAGGTTGGTTGTTATTGTGAGCGATTCCTTCAGCAGAGAAGAGCACCAGGCAAGAAAGAGAAGAACAGAATGAATGAAGCATGTTGTCCCTCTAGCAGCAAGTCTGCTCCAGGTAAGATCATAGAAAGCCATGAGAAACCCGGCTTAACTGTGATTCTGACACACTGTACTGACACAGAGTATACCTACCATACAGTGTACGTATGTATATGTAGTATCGCAAGTGCTTAGGGTGGTCGTTCTGGAATAAGAGGTGAGTAGTGACTAGTTCGAGTTGATCAGGAACTGGAGTGAAATGATAATACTTCTGATAATGTATATTACTCAGTTCTGTTTTAGTCATTAACAGTTAGCTCCTAGTTCTCCTTCTAGGGGTTTAAATTCATTCTTTTGTGCTGTTTCAGCTTCTTTACTGTTAATCTCTTTTCTCACTTCTGAGTCTCAAGTCTCTGAGGTTTAAGTCCAAGTCAAGTCTCAAGTCTCTGGGGTGTGAGTCTGAGTCCAGTATCAAGTCTCTGGGGTTTGGGTCCAAGTGAAGTCCTGAGTCTCTGGGGTGTGAGTTGCAGTCGAGTTTCTGAGGTGCGGGTCTGAATCAAGTCTCAAGTCTCTGAGATTCAGGTCCAAATTGAGTTTTGAGTCTCTTAGGATCAGGTTCGAGTTGAGTCTCGAGTCTTTTAGGTGTGAGTCTGAATTAAGTCTCTGAGGTGCGAGATCAAATCAAGTCTTGAGTCTCTGAGGTTTGGGTCAAAGTTGAGTCTTGAATCCCTGAGGTGTGAGTCCGAATTAAGTCTCAAGTCTCTGAGGTGCGAGTCTGAATCAAGTCTCGAGTCTCTGGGGTTTGGGCCCAAGTCAAGTCTCGAGTCTCTGAGGTTTGGGTCCAAATCAAGTCTTTAGTCTCTGAGGTGTGAGTCCAAATCATGTCTTGAGCCTCTGGGAGTCTCTAAGAATTGAGTCCGAATCAAGTCTTGTGTCTCTGAGGTGAGTCTAAGTTGAGTCTTGAGGCTATGAGATGTGAGCCCAAATCAAGTGTTTTTGTCTCTGGGATCTGAGACAAAGTCAAGTCTCGAGTCTCTGAGTTGCTGGTCTGAATCACATCTCCAGTCTCTGAGGTGCGAGTCTGGATCAAGTCTCGAGTCTCTGAGGTGCGAGTCTGAATCAAGTCTCGAGTCTCTGAGGTGCGAGTCCGAATCAAGTCTCGAGTCTCTGAGGTGCGAGTCTGAATCAAGTCTCGAGTCTCTGAGGTGCGAGTCCGAATCAAGTCTCGAGTCTCTGAGGTGCGAGTCTGAATCAAGTCTCGAGTGTCTGAGGTGCGAGTCTGAATCAAGTCTCGAGTGTCTGAGGTGCGAGTCCGAATCAAGTCTTGAGTCTCTGAGGTGCGAGTCTGAATCAAGTCTCGAGTCTCTGAGGTGCGAGTCCGAATCAAGTCTCGAGTCTCTGAGGTGCGAGTCCGAATCAAGTCTCGAGTCTCTGAGGTGCGAGTCCGAATCAAGTCTCGAGTCTCTGAGGTGCGAGTCTGAATCAAGTCTTGAGTCTCTGAGGTGCGAGTCCGAATCAAGTCTCGAGTCTCTGAGGTGCGAGTCTGAATCAAGTCTCGAGTCACTGGGAGTCCAAGTCGGGTCTTGAGTCTTCTGAGGGACCATAAGTGAAACCCTTTGTGGGGGCCCTCCACTCACTCCAGTTATATTATTTTGTATGTAAGAATGTCAATTAATTAATACTTAATTTTTCAGTTAGCATTTATGAAAATTGTTAAGTTTAAGTAATTATGATTCATTAAATAACCTAAGTAATAACATACAGGGAAAACAATCTATAATTAAATGATCTCTATAAATGAATACAAAACAAAAAATTACAACATGTGATGCATAATTTACGATTATGTACAGTAATCATACTTATTTTGGGGTCGTTAAAAAGTCTTTCATGATATTTTCATAACATTTTTTGTGGGCTAATTCCATGACTGACAATAAATAAAAAAATAAACAAATACATAAATAAATAAATACTCACAGGACCCCTTGAGGCGTAACGGTGCTAAGTGGTAACACTTATAGCAAAAAAACTGCCCTGTTGTTGTTGTGTCTAGTCTTGTTTTCTGGGTTTGATCTGAGGGGTCAAAAAAAAAGACAAAAACCATCCCTCTTATAACATGACTGCCCCCCTTTCTATCCCCTTTGGGTCTCTTAAGTCTATTCTCAACATTTTTGTTCCATCATATGTGAGATTTACATACTGTTTGGTACAGCTCACTATCAGGGTTGCCAGGTTTGCAATTTTCCCTTCTGAATTAGGCTTGTTTTGTGGGAGAAAATTAGAAAGTTGCAGCTTCTGTTGGCCGGCTTTTATGCAAACTTTGAGGTCTTTGGGGGGATTTTGGCAACCCTAACCACTGTAAAATATGCAGCAGGGTCTGTTCATTTAAAAAAAGAAAACAACAGGTACCAGCGTTAACCAGCGAGTGATGTTTTTACATGTAATAAAACTGACAATTGGAGCTTATAATTTCCAGGACTGTCTTAATATTTAGTAAAATAAGAGCTGGAATTAATATGAAAGAATAAAAGCAACTTTGCCAACTACTTCTCCAGAATGAGTGTTGCTGCAGTGTTGCTAATGTTATGGTGATGAGTGTTAACATCACGCTGATTAACACCCGGTTAACACACCGCCTGATGTTGTAAATGTTCTTAGTGCTGTGGAGAGGGAATTTTATTAGAGGGAATAAAATGCTGAGTAAAGAACTATCATGTCAAAAGGCACCAATAAATGATGCAGCACTGCACACAGTGAGCAGCACTGAGGAGTTCGCGTCTTACGGGCTTCTTCAGGATGGCTGACCACTCCAGAGCTACAAGAAGGGCTTTGACTTCAGAGGGCAAAACATTTTATGTGTATATTCAAGTACAACTAATACACATAAGACAACTGTAGTAAAATGAATAAATGATTATTATAAAAGTTACAGAGGTTATAGTTTGTTATATAGAACACTTTATATTCTATATCGTTGCTGTCAGAACGAAACCTCATACCTCAACTTTCAGCGTTTTTCAGGTTTTGTCATAATTTGAAAAATACCTGTTGCTCTTTACATTGGATGTAAATTTCATGATGAATCAACCAAAAGAAACGGCTCAAAATGACTTGAAGAAAGTCTGGTTCCATTGACTTACATTAAAAGTAAAGAAGGTTTTTTGCTTCTCCTGTAAAGTTTCCATTTTGGAGATATGAGGTTTTGTTCCGACAGCAGCGATATAAAGAAATACCAGACTGGCTAATCTGAAAAGCTATACTGACTGGAAATGACATACATAATCCTGAGTAAATGCTTTTAAATAGTACAGCAAAGCAACAGTAACAAATCTTGACTTCTAAATGTTGAATTTAAGCCTCTTTTCCTGCTTGCAGAGGACGCACAGTGTCTTACTGATATGAGGATTTTACTGCTGGGCAATAAAGCAGCAGGCAAGAGTTCATCCATAAGCACCATCCTGGGCAGCGAAGGGCCGAGTCTGAAGACCGCTCAGTGTGTGAAGAGGCAAGGAGAAGCTGAGGGAGTAGCGCTCACTGCGATTGAGGCTCCAGGCTGGTGGAGGAATTACAGAGTGAAGGACACTCCGAATTTAAACGCTCAGGAAATCGTACTCAGTGCGTCTCTGTGTCCTCCAGGACTTCATGCAGTGCTGCTAGTGGTCCGCCTGGACACTCGCTTCACAGAGACGTGCAGAAGAGCACTGGAGGAACGTCAGGGCTTGTTTCTGACTGACAGTGTGTGGAGTCACTCCATGGTGTTATTTACCTTTGGAGACTGTCTTGAAGACACCACAGTCGAGAAGCACATTGAGAGTCAAGGACACGCCCTCCAGTGGCTCGTGGAGAAATGTGGGAACAGAGTCCATGTGTTAAATAATAAGAAGAGGGACTCCAGGCAGGTGAAGGAGCTGCTGGAGAAGATTGAAGAAATGGTGATGGGAAACGGTGGACGTCATTTTGAGGTGGACTGTAAGACTTTACATGACCTAGGAGTCCAGAGAAGAACGGATGAAATGAAAGCAGCGGAAAGACTGATCAGAGCACAGACGCAGAAACAAGCCCTTACATGTCAAACAGGTAAGAGAATATTTGCGAGAAGAGCTGCTTTAAAGCTGCACTCTTAAAAAAAAAGGTTTGTCGTGGTTCTAAACTAAAGAACAGCAGGTGTTTATAGAACCATGAACACTCAAAGAACCACTTGAATGCATAAGTGGTGGTTTGTATGGTTAGATTGTTCTTTATGATGGAAATCTACTTCTTTATTGGTTCTTAAAGAATCACTGGTTCTTTATGGCATCAAAAAGTTTCCACTATTGTTACGAATCAAAAAAACGTTCTATATAGAACCCTTTTTGATAAGCATGTAGGACTACCAACAACTAAATACAATAAGATCAAAATATTTTTTTGTTTTGATATGTGCACTGTGATGATGTCAAAGATGATCTATTCAGGTACATGCTTAAAAAAGATGGTTCTTCAAGAGTTCTTTAGTAAAGAATATGGTTCTATATACAACCATAAACACTCAAAGAACACTTTGCATGATTAAAAGGCTCTTTGCCTTAATTAATTGATGATTAAAGGGCTTGTTGCATTGTCAAGGGGTTCTTTACTAATGAACCCTTGAAGAACGATTTTTTTCAGAGTAGTATAGAAAATGGTTCTATTTAGAACCATGAACACTCAATGAACACATTGCATGATTAAAGCGTTCTTTGCATGGTGAAAGGGTTCTTCAGATTGATGGAGAATGCATTGTAGGTGGTTCTATATAGTATCTTTTTGAAAAGTGTTCAATATAGCACCAGAAGGGTTCCTCTATTGTGACAACGTCAAGCTTGTAACCATAGAGGAACCTTTTTTATACATATATAGAACAAAAAGGTTTTATACAGAACCATCTACAGCACATTCTCCATCAATCTGAGGAACCCTTTCATGAAACAAAGAACCCTTTCATTAGGCAAAGTGTTCTTTGATTGTTCATAGTTCTGCACAGCACCATTTGTAGTTTATGATTGCAAAAATTGTAAAAATGATTGTAGGGCATTAAAAGAATGCTGCAGGTTTTCCACTGCAGTACCAGTATAGTCAGCTGAGTAGTACAGCATTGCATCATTGGCATGTAAATGTACTTTGCAATCAATAATGGAGGTGGATATTAATATAGATATCAAATAATAATGGCCTGAGGACTGAACCTTGAGGGACCCCCTTAGTCACCAGCAGTAACTCTCATTTACTTTGTCTTGGGGTCACACAGTGCTGTTTATCAAAGAGATCATTTCCAATCCAGTGGGTAGATCTGTGGTCAAAACCAATATTTTGAAGACTTTTTAAGTAGGGAATGGTCAGAGAGAGGTCAGAGACATCACTAAAAATGGGATATTAATGAAAATGTATTTCTAATGTCCTCTGGCCAATACATTTTTTCCATATTTTCCTCTTCCGATCTAATTACAAGGCTGACGTTGGTTGTCCTGCCCAAACAGCTTTAACAAAACTGTGTTCCATCACTGTCTCTCTGTGTTTGAGTTAGAAACCGAGATAAAGCTAACCACCAAGCAAAAGCTAGCCTAGCAGGCCTAACTGAGCTTTAGAAACAGCTCTGCCTGTTTTTTGTCTGTGCGTTTGTTCATGAATCCATCCATGAACAGGATAATCAGATAATCAGAATCCAAGTCTTATTGTATTTGGGACACCACAAGACGCTGCATGCTGCTTGGATGTATAAGCACCCAATGCAACATGCTCAGTTAGCACAATGCTAATTCTCCTGCCTAACCTTGTTAGCTGCACTACCTGCATTAGCCTCATAGCTCTAGTGCAAAACTAAAGAAGCAAACATGTCTTGGCTGATCGACCACATTTTGGCTTGTAAATTTAATGTTTTGGGCAAACTTTCAGCTTAAAAGTGAAAAGAAGCATATAAGATAAAACACAAGTGTCAATTTTATTTATTATTATTTTGATGATAGAAAAGTACAAATTAAAGTTTTATAAAAACCATTTCTGTTTTAACACAAGCCACTAAAACATACTTGCTTTACAGGCTTCCTTTCACTGGCTTTTTTCTCTAATAACTTTTACAGCTCAGACCCAACAAGAACTGAGAATTTTGCTGGTTGGACACAGGCATTCAGGAAAGAGTTCAGCAGGGAACACCATCCTGGGCAGAGAGGAGTTTGACTTAAGGACGACATCAAAGTGTGTGATCAAAGAAGGAAAAGTAGCAGGGAGGCTGGTCACTGTGGTAGAAGCTCCAGGTTGGTGGAACAACTACAGCGTAAAGGACACACCAGCGCTAAACAAGCAGGAACTCTTGTGCAGTGCATCTCTATGCCCTCCAGGACCTCATGTCCTGCTTCTGGTCATACGAGCGGACGGCTCATTCACGATGCAGAACAGAAAAGCAATCGAGGAACACCTGGAGCTTCTCGGAGCGGAAGTCTGGGATCACACAGTGGTGCTGTTTACCTATGGAGACTGGCTTGGAGAAACTAGCATTGAGCAACACATCGAGAGTGAAGGATATGCACTGCGGTGGCTCGTGGAAAAGTGTGGAAATAGATACCACGTTTTCAATAACAACTGCAGGGATGATGGCAGTCAGGTCACAGAGCTCCTACAGAAGGTAGAGGAAATGGTAGCAGGAAACAGCGGGCAACATTATGAGGTCGACAGCCTTTTAATAGAAGAAGTGCGAAAACAACAGAAGGCAGGAGAGGAACGTGCAAAGTTGAGAATGTCAAACATGATGGAGAAGAGACAGACACTGAGAGTGCTGAGGGGTATGATACCGATTCTTCCTCGCCTTACTGGTAGCGCAAGAACACCGGTTACATGAGGCTCAGAGAAAAGATGTACATTTTATGACCAGTGTTGACTATGATTTTAAATGCTTTAATAGCTTTAATAAACTCAGAATTTGAAAATGCCAGCTGCCCTTCACAACATGCTAAAATGTTATGATGAATGAGCTAAAAGGAAAAGCTTAAAATTACTTGGTTAGGTTCTATGATCTCCTGTAAAGTTACCATATTGGCGATATGAGATTGTGCTTCAACAACAGCAATATATTTCTAAAGATCTGTTATTAAAACCTTCACAGTCAGTTGGTGATAAACCATTACTGGTGATGAAAGTATATCTTTTATGTAGTCTTATTGTATTTTTTTCCCGGAATTCTGAGACGTCCACTGATTAATTTTATCTATGTAGTCAAACAAGCAGCCTATACACTAAAGACAGAGTGTTGTTTACATTCAGATGAAAGCTAATTGTACTTGTATTAATTATGCCAGTCAAGGGAAGCATATAAACTTGAAATAATGTATGCCCTAGAATTGAGACTTGCGGGACACCATAAGATACTGCATTCTGCTTAGACGTATATGTACCCAGTGCAATGTATACAGGTGGCTCAAAGCTAATTGTGGTGCATAAGCTTGTTGACTGCATTAGCTACATTAGCCATGTAGCAAAACTAAAGAAGCAAGCTGTAGACACCAAACATGTCTTGGCTGATCGAGTGCATTTGTGGTAAAAGTTCAAACTGAAAAACGTGGGGGAAAGAAAGCAGGAAGTAACTTTATATTAATTATTATGGGTTTGTAGCTAATCAAAACAAGCAAAGAAAGTTTGTTTAAAGTCTGGATGAATTTGGTAAAAAGTTAAGCCATTATTCATTAAAGTTGCAAAGATTTCTCCGCTTTTATTGACGCAACAGCTACTCTGCATCTGATTCATGAAAGTTTTGCACGATGTGGAAACCAGTTATGATGCAAATGATAAATCAGCTTCAGCTCGTAAAATCAAGCACAGCCTACCAGAAACTAATTTACATATCATTTACATAAGACTCGCCCCAATTCTTGCAGATATTTCGGCAGGGAGCCAATAAAGCTACAGCATTCAGCAGCTCATGAGCCAATGGCTGTGCTGGTAGGTGGAGTTTGAGGTCGAGCGGTGAGTGCGCTGCTCCCCCTATTGACCAAACTTTCTAGTGTTAAAGTTATGACAACTGCAATGTAGAAAATATGAAATAAACAAAACATTTTTTTAAAGATGATAGCCAGTCCACCCTTGCTGTCAGGGAAATCGGTTACACTTTAATTGGATAGTACATGGTAGATGCTTTGTAGATATTTATTTTACTTTCAAGTTACACTGAGCTAAATATCCACTAAATTGGCCATATTTTTTTTTTAACTTGGCACTAATCCTAACCCTAACCTTAACCTCAACCCAAAACCTAAACCCAACCCTCACCCTGGTCCAAATCCTAACCGTAACCCCACCACTGTTTAGAATCAACTGAGTTTCAACAGATAGTTTATTAAGAATCTGAACATCTGTAGATAATCTATAGGGGACTATAGTGGACTCCAAATAAAGTGAGACTGGGAAATGTGTGTGTGCTATTTATGCAGCTTTAATGAATAAGGGATTATGTGTACAGTCTTGTTTTGTAGGGGATAAAAAGTAAAAAGTTTTCATTACATAATGACAATAATAAATGATCAACTTTGGGTTGGTATGCTGTGTTGTTTAACATTCCTTCTTACACCTGTTCTGCCTTATAGGTGAAATACATCATCTAACCGATCTGAGGATTGTGATGCTTGGGGGCATGTCTTCTGGGAAGAGCTCCACAGGAAACACTATTCTCGGCAGTGGGGAGTTTAGCTTAACAAGTAGTTCCAACTGTGTGAGCCGGCGAGGAAAAGTAGGGACCAGACAGGTCATTCTAGTTGAGGCCCCAGGCTGGTTGAAGTGTTCCTATGTGGGACTAACTGCCGAATCTGTCAAACAGGAGGTCATGCGGAGTGTAACTCATGCTGTGCTCCTCGTTATACAGACAGATACGTCATTCACAGAGAACGAAAGGAGAACCCTGGAGGAACATCTCAAGCTTCTTGACGAGAGGATTTGGAATCACACCATGGTGCTGTTCACGTGTGGAGACTGGCTAGGAGACTGGAGCATAGAGGAGCACATCGAGAGTGAAGGGAAAGCTCTCCAGAGGCTTGTTGAGATGTGCAGGAACAGGTACCATGTCCTGAACAACCAGGACAACGGTGATAGCGCTCAAGTCACGGAACTGCTAGATAAGATAGAGGAGATGGTGGTGGAAAATGGTGGGTATTCACCTGTGCAAGGGCCAAAGCCTTCTCCGGTGAAGGTCCAAAGGCATTGTGAGGATGCAAAAGAGCATGAGCATTTAAACGTCAGGACAGATAGAATGGCCTTTAGCCAGCATGATGAGGATGAAAAGAGAAAAGGAGGCTTGACTGAGATGGATCAAAAAAAGGGAGCTGCTGATGCCGTCCCAGATGACACTTTGGATGAAAAGAGTCCACTGCCCACAGTTACAGACACGACAAAAAAATGGACATTTTCTGATATGCATATTCACAAAGCTCGTAGTATGCAGCACTTGAAGCCAACGAGTAAGTTTCTTTAAATTTAACTTCAGTTAACATTATAATACACTTGGACTGCTCTTAATAAGCCTTACCAAGCCAGTCGCTGGTCCTGCTGCCTGTTTTAAATAAAGGCCATTTTTCTTACAAGGAAAATGGCAGATTCAGAGTTTTTGTTTTTTGGGCCAGTTTTGGGCCCTGTGACCAGAAGGTCGCAGGTTTCGAGCCCCTGAGCTGACAGTACATGACTGAAGTGCCCTTGAGCAAGGCACCTAACTCCCAACTGCTCCCAGGGCACTGTGGGCACTGCCCACCACTCTGGGCAAGCGTGCTCACTGCCCCCTAGTGTGTATGTGGTGTTTCACTGCACAGATGGGTTAAAATGTGGAGGAAAATTAACTGCTCATCACAGTTTTAGGGTGAATGAAAGTATTTTCTACAGCACTTTTATTTGTGTATTATACATTCTATGCACAGTTCATACAAATGTCATATTCAAATAAGGCCTTTAGATATTGAGATATTGATATAAGATAAACATATTACAGACCCAACACTCAGGAAAGGTTATGCACAAGATTATGATAATTAGTGCACAAATAAAAGTATTGCCAGATTTAGCAGCATCTAGTGGTGAGGTTGCAGATTGCAACCAACTAAATCCTCCTCCCTCACCCCTCTTTTTCCAAGCATGTAGTAGAACCTACAGTGGCTGTCAGGTACATTGGTAAGTTCAATTACCTGTCCAGTAGAAAACAGGCAACTTCGGCATCACTCTGAAACATTTGTCATTTATTAGTGCTTTCCATCTGGAAAAGGCCATCTTAGTGTTGGTCCTCGTAATCTGCCTCCGATTTTGTTTTGCTTCTTCATATTTTTCTAGGATTCACCTTCCTCTGCTTTTTCTCGTGTATAATAATAAGTATTATTCTCCATTTGTCAAAATTTCCATTTGTGTCATCTAAAATGTCTCATAATGCAAAATGTTTACTCACCAATTTTTTTCTATGCCGTCCAACTAGTGCTAAAAACACTGCTTAATGAAGTAGTTATGAGCAGCCAATTAATTAGCCAATTAATGATAAGACTCAATAAGGGAATTATAAAGGACACCAAAGATGTTGTGAAAACACAAATAAAATTGCTGTGGAAGATGCTTAATACAAGTTAGTTATTGTTTTATAAAGTAGCTTTATAAATGAGCAGCTATTTAATGGCAGGTACTGACTTAATATAAACAAAATTAAGACACAATCAATGCAAATCTTCTCTGCCATAAAAAAACAAATGGTCCATTCATAATGTAAAGGACAGCTGATGTCAAAAGGTGTAATCATCTTATTTTTACTTCTTTCCACAGTGGGCGGAGACGACCGTTTTGACAGTGGCTCCGATTATGATTCGGAAGCGTCGTTTACGATGACCAATACTAGCAATATGTATAGGTTGCTACCGTCAATGACATCATCTTTGAGTTCTGGGATCGGCTCTTTGAGAAATGCTGGTTCTCTAGGGTTCAGAGCACTGAATGTCTTTATGAAGAGACCCAAACTGGAGGAGGACAGCACCAGAGCAGAGGTCCAGGAAGAAGAGAAAATACAAGGAATAAGGTGAATCATCGTCCAAAGAAAACAAAAAGACTTAATGACCAACGAAGAGAAGGCCAACCAACCATGAGCCTATCCTTTTATACACTGTGTGACAAAAATTGAATTCTAGTATCAGCATATCAAACAGCACTGATGACAGTTTTCTTCACAATAGTTTTAAGCAGAATTTCTCATTTGTAGTCAATGCCAGTAAAATAGGCCATCATGATGCTTAAAATCAGGATAAATCGAGAGAGAAAACATTAGATGTGTTATCTAATAGATAGATGTGTTAAAATCAATAGCCAGATTGGTTGGTTATTGCAAGTTCACATCCCAGGACTGACTTGATATTCCTGGTTGAGCCACTAGCAACTACCACTGCCTCCACTTTAGGCAGCAAAATGAAAGTCTTCCCTTGTTTGATCAATACAGTATAACAATAGCAAACTACCAACAGACCATAGAAGTCCAGAGTAGAGAATGGCCAAATATACTCTCAGTTATGACAAAAAATGCTAAACACAAGAACACTGGTAATATATATATGTAGCAGAGGTATCTGGGATAACGTCTTACAGACAGAATGAAACAGAAAAGTTTAGAGAAATCCAGGCCTCCTTATCTGTGAAACATGGTGTCGAATACGGCATTGGAGCTAATTTTTTATTTATTGATGGAACTGTAATATCTGGTAATGTTGGTTGCAAATTATTGGCAACCAGTTACTGACGATTTCATTTCAGATTTTGTTCATTTTTTCAGTTACTTTTGATCCGTTGTAATAAGACTGTCTGTCAACCCTTGAAAGTCACAGGTATAAAAAAAAATCAAGCTGGAAGTATTTTTCACTCATAAGTGAAAAATATCACAATTATGTTTGCAAATAGAACATTTTATTGTGGTCTGATCTGATGAAAAGTTGTGTGTGCTAATGTTGGGTGTACAGTTTGTTTTGCACATCTTGTGTCATTTTTTTTTATTTTTGATAAAACAAACAGGAAAAAACTGAAAGTGCAAACCTGTCCGTACAGAATGTCATATTAGTCATTATGTAAACGTGATGAGTTGTGTAGTTGTGTACAGTGTAATATATGAAAACGAAAATGATAACTCTAGATGTCTGAGTTAACTTCGCTGTCATGGTTTAGTGCCAAATCAGATTAGTTGGGCTACAAACCACAAATAGTGTCATTATCCAAAACCCATAGGCTGCACTGTGCATTCATATTTAGCATGTTGCTAAAAGACTTTTATCTCTCTGTATCCTGAAACAACCAGTAAAACACTTTTTCACTGCCATTTTTGTGTTTTAATAGGTTCAAATCATAAAGACCTCCAAACAGAACTAACAATCTGTTGTGTTTCTTTGCTGAGCTGAACATAAGAAAATCCACTGGCACGGTTTCAGTTTTGTGGCTGTTGATGCATAAAATTGGTACCAACAGGATCTCGATGGTCTTCTCTGTCACTTGCAGATGGATCCAACAACAATTCAGTGAATTTATTACTCTCCCAGGTTAGGATAAAGTCGCCAGGCACTGTGATGTCACAAATATGTGCACCAGAACACAAAGGAAACTATCGCTATTAGCATTCATGCTAGCCTTCCCAGAACAAGAGTTATTGTTCATTTTTTCATGCTCATCAGAGGAAAATTCAGATTTCTGTGTAACTGTAGGCACTTTTTGTTAACATCTTAAAGTCTCAGGCTTATTACACACAAAGACTTACTATTCAGTACGTCAGGGACTTCAGTGCGAACTAATGGAGCTGTTCTCAGGTTATAGAGTTGTATAATTAAACTTTGGGCCTGTCCGTGGGTCCGTAGCCCTTTAAGGGGATAAGCTAAAGTAAGCAGGATAAAAGTTGAAGTTAAGCTAACTAGCAAGCAAGTTTGCTAATTACTGAAATTAGACACTTTATCAAGGCACTAAATTAACAAAAAGGCAATTAAAATGTTAATTGCGGTTATTATCACTGTGTTTCTTTATTAATAATTCTCAAAACTCTAATTGTAATTGTAATTTTGCTATTTGGTGATGACCAGAGGACGGGTTCCTATTTTGAGTCTTGGCTCCTCTCAAGGTTTATCCTCATTCTTCTTGCCTTGAACCTTGAATTTCCTGTAAAGCTGTCTTATGGTGATGTCCACTGTAAAAAGTGCTATTATTAATGATTTGGATTCGGTTTAATTGGTTGGGGTTGAGTGATAACTTTGGTAATGTTTGACTAGTTTGAGTCTTTTCTTTGAAAGAACAAAGAAATCTGAAAACTCTACCTGCCTCTTGTTCACATAATTCTCAAAAATATCTTATTTCTGTATAAAGACTCTTGAAATTGTGTAAAAATGTCAATAAAAAATGTGCTCAGTTATTATTCAGCCTACCAAGTTGAAGTTTTGGCAATTATATATAACAAAGTATTGCAAAATGTGGTAGCTGAGAAATTCGGCAATCTGATGCTTTGACAGAGGCAAAAAGCCAAATGAAGCCTCAAAACCAGTTCACATTTCTCATAACGCAAAATCATTTATTCATTCATTAGCAGTAGCACATAGATTCACTGACACAATGGGGCATCGAAGAAATCAGCGTTTAGGAGCGAAGAGGAGGCGAAGAGGAGAAGAGTGACGGCTGGAGAAGGCTGGAGATGGTTAGGGTGCGGGTTGAAGCTCAGTTGGTGGGGTGGAAAGCCCCTCTCTGGTGCCACTGCATGTCGCGGATGCGTCTCACAGACTGGATCTGAGGCAGCTGAGCCCCAAACTCGGCACACTCCTTATACTCTCCCTTCTCAAACAGGTACTGATAGCCTCTGTAGCCAGGGTACTGGTAGGCCACCCAGCTGTGAGGGAAACAGGAGGAGAAAGTGCATCACATACTAGAATATAAGAGAAAATCTTGTGTGATAGTTTAGTCGTGATAGTTTAAACTCTAAGTTTATTCAGTTATTAATCTTGAGACTTATTGTTCAGTAATTAATATAAACTGTTCAGTAATTTGTATAGATAAGCTTTACAGAATCTCATTCAACCTAATGAGAATCTTTGTTCAAAGTTGAGATCATGTTAGATTTTTATTGATCATACAAAGGAAATTTGGCTGCCTGTTCTGGGACAATGAAAGGTTAAGCGTCTCATCCAAGAGAAAAACCTGAGGGTCCTGGGATTTGAACTCACAACATTCTGGTTGCTACAGCACACATTGCTTAAAACTAATCACACAGGCCACCCAGTTCTATTTCGTACACAAAACAAATATGATTTGGATTAATAACTCACCCTAAATGTGGGCATTAAACTGTGTTCTACAGTTTCTCAGTAGGTTGAATTAGATTTTTACCAGCGGCCTGTAAAAATTGCACAGCCCAGCAATAGTCCTACAAAACATATCAACATCAGGAGCCTGTACTTTCTGCACTGTGGTGAATGCAGTTGCACTTACGTGCCGTTCTGCACTCGGACTGAAGAAACCTTCTCCTGGTAGCCGTGAGCGTGGAAGCTGGGCACATCATCATCTATGATCTCGATCTTCTTCCCTGCGAAGCTGGGGTTCTCATACAGCACGATCTTGTGCTCCTGGCTGTCCTGAAATGGCAAAACGACAGAAAGTGAGGAAGAAATTTACCAAAAGAGATGCTGCTACTGAGTGCTAAACTTATTAGCATTACTGCTAATGAGTGCTGATAGGTTAGCATTATTGCTACTGAGTGCTGATTTGTTAGCATTACTGCTACTGAGTGCTGATTTGTTGCCATTACTTGCTGATTAGTTAGCATTACTGCTGCTGAATACTGATTGGTTGGCATCACTGCTACTGAGGGCTGGTTCTATTACGGGTACTGAATGCTAAATGGTTGGCATTACTTCTATTGAATGGTGATTGGTTAGAATTACTGCTACTGAGTGCTGATTGGTTAGCATTACTGCTACTGAGTGCTGATTTGCTGGCATTACTATCACTGAGTGCTGATTGGTTTGCATTACTGCTACTGATTTCTGATTTGCCATCATTACTGCTACTGCACTCTGATTGGTTGGCACTACTGCTACTGAGGGCTGATTGGTTGGCATTACTGCTACTGAGTGTGTTTGGTTGGCACTACTGCTGCTATGTGCTGATTGGCTAGCATTACTGTTACTGAGTGCTGATTGGTTGGTGTGCAGATCAGCCCACTGAAGCACTGAAAGTACATAAGACACTGTTCGGAAAGACAAGTAGAGTTCAAAGGTGCTCAAAAATAGCAGTGTTGGAGTATATACGCAGTTCTGTGTTGGGTAAATGAGCACATTTTTCTGTTTAAAATTATTACGCATTTACAAGCGACTAAGAGCACTGAACTAAACGATTTTGCACAGAAGCTCCAAAGAAAACTACTATTTTTGGGCTTGACCAAGAGAGCTCCTAGCGTCTGATAAACCGAGAAGACAGTACTGAATGACAATTCTTCTCACTTCCATGCTCACAGAGCCCCCTGGTGGCTGCAGCCCCTAAAACACACCTAGTTAATATGGCCAGTTTGGTTATGAGCGTGAGGAGTGGACTACTGCAGTTGAATGGGTTATATAGATCATATATATCATATATACATATTTAAACAAAGAGGAGAAAGGAAGGTTGTGGTCATGTGCTGAGGTGAGTAAATGTGAGTCAGTGAGAGAAGTTTGGTAGTTACCACTTTAATGGGGCGGAAGGAGAAGATGCAGTCGCTGCGTCGGCTATTGGTCCAGGCATCCCAGCGAGGATACTCGCCCTTCTCAAACACAAACTGCTCCCCCTTACAGCCGGGCTGCTCATACCCCACCCACCTACACTCAGCACAGAGAACACGGAACCGGGAGTCAGACCCTCACAGAGACTCTCACCACACTAACACAGTCTTTTCACTCACTCTCCCTCTCTCTCAGTTGTTCATACAGAACTGATGACCTCTTTCCCTAAACCAGTGCTGCCCAAAGTGAGACTCGTAGGCCAAAGCTGGCCTGTAAGGACCTTTGGATTGGCCTATGAGTCACCCACCCACTCACTCAATGACGGAACAAACATACTATATGAATAACATGTTCAATTATGTATTTTTGAAGTATTTAAGACCAAAATATAGAGTAATATATCATAAAATACATTTATAAAAACTTGAATTGAAGCATACGTGCTGTATTTATTTGTAAACTGCCTTTTTTGCCCACCACAAACATTGCAAACAGCCCTGCATTGTTTATTTCTATACGCACCCTAATTTTCATTTATGCATATGAACATATGAACTTACATATACACACAGGTCCAATTTTAGTCTAACTATTTGCCCACTATTATTGCAGCTCTCTCTCTCTCTCTCTCTCTCTCTCTGTCATTCACACAGAATCCATGACCCGTTACCCTAAACCTTTAGGCCAAAGCTGGCCTGTAAGGATGTTTGGTTTGGCCTATGAGTTACACTAACCCCACCCACTGACAGAACAAACATACTTTTATATAAATATATAAATAACATATTCAGTTTTCTATTTTTGAAGTAATTTAGACCAAAAGTATAGTGTAATATTATAAAACACATTTTTCCGAAAACTCAGTTTAAAGCCTACCCATTTATTTACATCTTACATTAGTCCAACTATTTGCCCACAATCATTGCATCTCTCTCTCTCTCTCTGTCTCTCTCTCTCTCTCTCTCTCTGTCTCTCTCACACACACACTCACGGTCCACACAGCACCAGTATCGAGCCCACTTTCTCCACGCCCGCCTCCTGGAGGTTGTTACAGGGCCCAGTCAGCTCATGGCAGCGACCTTGGAAGTTTTCCTGTTCGTAGATTACCAGCTGAGGGAGAGCCGGCGAAAACAGGAGAGAAGAATGATTTATAATAATGATGATGATAAAAAGGAAAAGATTTGTGTTAATCTATTTCTTCTTCTTCTTCTTCTTATTATTATTATATTATAGTAAAACTTTTCATTTTAGTTGCAAATTCGCAAAGTGCATTAGAGTGGACAGATTAAAGATTACAGTTCAAATGAAATAAAAGCACAATTAAAATAAGGAAAAAACAGAGCAATATTTCTCTTCTGTTTCATTCAGATACTGTACTAACAATGTCTACCCTCAGAGAAAGTAATATATGTAACATGTTCCATGATACTCTGTTTCTATACCTTTCTAAAATAATGTTATGTTTCTTTTGTGCACCTTGAAAGCACTGGATCCTGACTGCTGCTGCTTGGTTGTAGGGTTTTGGTGATCAGTTGCCATAGTGAACCAGGATGGGTGTGACGAGCTTCAAGACGTAGGTAATGTTATCATTGCATCCCAAGAAAAAGAGAAAAAGAAAACGTTTCCATGACTACATATAAAGCAGTGATTTAGTTTCTTTATAAAATGTCTATTGAAACCAACAGCAATCAGGACGTTTTTCACCTCATAACAAAATAAATTAATTACTGCAATTAAAATCCAGTTTTCCACATGTTAAAATCAACAATTTAAACCAACACTTTTTGTTCGTTTAAACACACATTTGACACAGAAGGTGGTACAGTAGGACGACTGTTGCTGAGATTGCGAAAGTTAACGAAGGAAACCAAAAAGAAGAATCATTCTATGGACACAGAAGAAGAGGAACGGACGTTGGTGCCTTACCAGCTCCGTGGTGTGCCAGTCTGTACTGGGTGGCATGGGGGGCTGAATATATACAGCCAGCTCAGGGGTGGAAACTCTGCCAAGAGTCGGTTCAGAACACACTCATAATCAGGTCCTAATAGGCTGGCTCGGCTGTCGTGGGGGGGTCGAAGCAGTTCGAGCCAACACACATTCACACACTCACTCAATCCAACACCCCTCCACCACATACCCCCCCACCCCGCCTGCCGGACCACCACCCCAACCAGAACATCATCCTCAGCAGCCCAAATCCTCCCTCCCCTTTTTGATGGCCCACAAAGTTATTTCATTAGTTGTCAAATTTGCCCAGCCACTCTTTGTTCGCTATCCCATGATTCAGCACAACCTGTGCCAAGAGTTTGAGATGTACAATGAGGCCGGCCTGCAAACGTGCTGGTAGACCTGGGAGGGAGAGAGAGGGAGAGAGAGAGAGAGAGAGATTTAACACAATATTGATATTTAACTTATGTGTAGGACTGTAGGACTGTGCAAAGTGAAAGAAACAGTCATTAAGTACAAGTTATTGGTTTTTCAGGAGATTAGATATAAGAAAATCCACTTGCACAATGAAATAGAAAGTCAAAGGAAAATAAGCGAGTTTCTAAAACTGTTCACAAACTGATTAAAAGCTCCAGAGAAAATGTTCCTCCTAACAACCACCTGGAAGACCTGGTAGCCCCCAAAACTGCCCCCATCAGATAAACAGCACTTAAAGCTTTCATCTCTGAGAGAGAGGAGAAAATCAAGCTGCTTCAGATCTGAAAACATCCACAGGTGTTTCTGTCCATCCTTCCACTGTGAGAAGACGACTCAGCGCTGTGGGTCTGAAAGGATGTGTAGCTGTTCAAGAAGAACCTCACTGAGAAAAGGAGACGGACACATCAAACAAAGAAGCTGAACGATGGACTGACCACCCCAGAGTCCAGACCTCAACACCACTGAATGTGTTTGATTACTTCAGAAAACGATCAACCAGCTTCTAAGACTGAACTTGGAGGTGTGTCTGCAGATTTACTTGAGAAACTGAAAGTGAGTCTCCTGAAAAAAAGAAGCTATTATATTTAGTTGTTGTATTTTCTGTCAAATCTATATTATCTGCTTCTTTCCTGAAGTTAAAAATATTTTTGTTGTTTTTGTACTTTTTGTTTTTGTACACTTTTTTTCTGCCAAAGGATTAAAGGATATTCACTCTTCAACTTTGTTTTAGTGTTAAATAATTAATTACTAACGTGTTTCACATCACTAACTAAAACTTAGCCAACAAACAAAGCGACTTTAATTACTGCACAGTGTTGGGTTGCACTGAATAAGGCATTGTGTGAGTGCTGTATATATGCAGATTGACTGGACAAGGGATTTCACAAAATATTAAGCTCAGACTGCACACATGGATTACAAACTACCTTCCGAACTCCACTTTAAACTCAAAGGCAAGGAGTTTTCAGTCATAATTTGGGTTATACTGCCACTCTGTGGTTTGCTTTCTCTTCAGAGTATTATAAGTCTGTAACTCCTTTACTGCAGAGTTAGGCCTGTGCGATACATGGCTTGTTAATTGTTATTGCAGCACTTGTCTTTTCCAATAGTGTCTCAGAAGGACTGCAAACAGCCTAGAACCACTAAATGTGCTCAGAGCTTCCCAACTAACCTCAAGCATTCCTGATCAGTTCCTGTGCCTGTTTGGATAATCCAACGTATTCATGGGATCCAAGAAATGAAAATAGTTTGGGTCACAGTAATGCATGCCGATTGTAACAAGTCATATTCAGCAATGTGTTTTTAATATATTGTGAGGCATTTCGCCAGAGCTGGCTCTAGACCCTCTCAGCTGGGGGGGGCGCTCTGGAGCAGGACGCTGTATTAGAGGAGCCAGTTACATCATTCTGTTCACAATGTCAGTTCTCCTTACTGGGGGAGAAACAGTCCAACATCACAAACGTTTGCTTCGTTTACTAAAGAATAAACAACATTGAAGAGAATGAGTCACTGACTGTTGATGGAACCGGTTGTTATTTAGCCAGCTAAGAGTGAGTATCCAGCTCTCTATAGATGCTGCAATCAGCAGATAACAGCTAACAGGAGCATATCGCTGTTGTCGGAAGAAAACCTCGAATGTCCATTTTTGACGTTTTTCAGTTTTTGACATAATTTGAAAATACCTGTTACCCTTTACCTTGTATGTAAATTTCATGATAAATGGACTAAAAAAAACAGCCCAAAATGACTTGGAAAAAATTCTGGTTCCATTGACTTTAAAAGTAAAGTAAAGTATGTTTTTTCCTTCTCCTGTAAAGTTACCATTTTGGATATACAAGGTTTTCTTCTGACAGCAGCGATATATGGATTTATTAGCTGTCTAGATACATAATTTTAAAGATAAATCAATCACCTGACTGCAAAAAGCTGTATGGATTTAAAAGACACTTTCATTGGGTGATTCACAGACGTCATGGGAGGTTTTTTAGTGCTGGTGGTGTGCCCCCCCACCTCATATTTGTGAACCATAATGGTGATGATCCACTATTACACAATTTTAAAAGTGACCAGGCTCTACATTTAGGAAGGTCACAGGACTGTCTGACCAGGCTGCACTGGTCTTATCACGAATGTAATCTCCACTGCTGTGGTTTCATCATTTCTGTTGTCATTTGGTTTTATAAAGTTGAAGCTCACGCTATGAAGCTCAAGCCACTTTCTATTAGCCAACATCACAATGTAGATAACACGATTTACTCTTAAATGAGCCGAAAACTCGTAAATAAAAGATCAGTTATCTATTTAAATGATGCAAATCAAAAGAAGTGCTATACATGAGGTAAAAGCTGACTGGCTATTCAGCACAATCAGTCGTATATAATTGTTTTACAATGTTTTGGTTCAGATGTGATGGGAGCTTTCAAATACAGCGTGAGACCTCTTACCTGCCTCACCTTATTTACCTCATAAAACTGTCCAAATCAAGTTAATAAACTGATCGATTTTAGGTTTGGACAAATAAAACGCTAATAAAAGAGTCACGCGGGTCCTGGTGCTTTATTGTCCTGCTGTTTTTGGCCACAGCTGTGCAACAGTTCGCTCTAATCCAAAGATATGCCTACATATCCCCCCAGGGAAAACTAGCCCTGTCTTCAAAATAAGAGTCCTGTGAATAAGTGCTGAAGAGCCAATAACCAAACTAACATGTCAAAAACATTTTTTGAAGATGCTACAATTTAAATGAATGGAGTTACATGCCTGTAGTAACTATATGGACTAAAACTGTCTTAAAGTGGAAATCCACTGATTTTTAAAAGAAAATATATTGCATAATTAATTGGTTAAGATGTAAACAGAGTCGTTCAGAGTGGTTTGGTGTGAAACCCTCTGTTCTAGAGAAACTTACCGAGTCAGAATTGTTCACATTTGTGGTGATAGGAACCAGACGTCCACCTCTAAAAGCTCCCTCACAAAAAGTTACTACATGAAATGGTTATGAATTCACTGCCTGATGACTGAGACACTGATTTGTAATAGTGAAGAGTTTATATAAATAGTGAAGCCAATTGTTTGGCATTGTATAGGAAATTGTCCCACTATTCTACCATTATCAACATTGTGTATACGTGTAGGTTCACTGGTGGTTTTGGATAGTAAATAAAATGTCTGTATTTGTGTTGTAGTCATGGCAACCCCTGGATCCTATCACCACCACTGTAAAGACATCTGAACCATTTCACACCAAACCGCTCTGAATGACTGAACTACATCTGACACTGAAAAAAAAACTCTTAAAATGACTGAACTGAACTGAACCTTCAGCTCTCTTCTGGTATTCGCTAAAAGACACGGGGGGGTAGGTGGCTGGTGGGCTATGTTTTGTTTATTTTGCAAGCCCACAGATGGTGTAAAGGTTTAAAGGGCCTGGGGCTGATCTACAGCAGCAGGAGGAGGAGGAGGAGAAGGAGGAGGAGGAGGAGGATGGGGGTGGGAATCTGAGCAGGACAGGCAGAGCTACTGCTTTTCTGTCCGCTCTCATTTCTCCAGGACTGACTGGAAGTCTGGAAGACACAAGAGCATTTCTTGATGCTTTGAATTACTGTGTTTACCTTTTACCATCTCCCTTTGTGTGTTTTTGACTATCTGTCAGAGACGTTTAGATACCACTGCTCCTTTTCAACAATGTAGGATCCCTCAGCTTCTTTGGGTGCCCACGTCTGCTTGGAGATCAGCTTCAGAACTGGTGGAAAACCAACTGTTTTCAGGTTGCTTTGATTTATTTTGTGCTGCATTGAGAATGTTTGTGCAAGAAGGCTCCTCTGGAATGGTCTGAGAGAGGATATTAGGAACGCAAGCTGGGCAGGTATTTAGAAATGCAAATTAGGTTGGGTAGTATATGCCTAGTGTATTTATAATCAGCTTTTATTTCATGTAAACTGTCTCATTTTATCTTTACAGTGTTTTGCTTAATGTTCTCCGTAAAGCATTTGAAATGAAAAGCTGTATATAGACATAAACAAGCATAAAAAATAAAGATTTTTGGTGCACGATGCTGCCGGGGGAGATTATTTTGCCTCTTCTGCTGCTCAGTGTGGGACTTTGCCAAAGTTTCCCACATTACTCATACGATGACATGGACGATGACTTGGCCATGACCTTCGACTACTACAAGGACACGGACGAGGTGGATTACAGAAACGGGAGCGTTTGTGAGGAGTGCATGCCGGAGCTCTGTCCCGAGACGCGAGGCTGCAGAGCCGGGCTGGTGCGGGACAGCTGTGGATGCTGCTTTGAATGTGGAAACCTTGAGGGTCAGTCGTGCGATCTGGGGGACAAGAACATCCACTACGGAATATGTGGAGAGGGCATGGAGTGTAAGCTGGACCCCAGGCATGAAGCGTATGAAGACGAGGGTGTCCACGACGCCCAGTGCGTTTGTGTTTCTCAAGAACCGCTGTGTGGATCTGACGGCAGGACGTACATGAACCTCTGCAAGTTCAAAGAAGCAGCGTTTGTGAGTCCTGGACTCAATGTGAGCGATGGCCCGTGCAAGACAGGTAGGAGAAAGAAATAAATGAATACATTGAATTGTCAAATTTACCCCCTTGACATTCCTGGACCTGCTAATGGGGGCAGACTTCATTCATCACTCTTAGAACTTTATAATAACTCATTTTGCATTGACATGTAGTCACTGAAGAGCAAGGCTTGGGATCTAGACATACTTTGGAGTAAAATAATCATTATTTTGGCATAAACATTCTGTGTTTGCTCATATTTTGTATCTCATGCAGTTCTACCAGGGGATACGTTCTTTACCTCGGTAATTATGTGTTACCTTTGTGGATCCCACTTTATTTGGATAGATAAAGATCTTCAAATGAACAAAGAATTAAGAAAATGGGTCTATATAGAACCATGAACATTCAAAGAATTCAGAGGGCTTTGCATTGATGGAGAACGTGTTGTAGATGGTCAAGCTTTATTGGCCAGGTATGCTTAGGCATACAAGGAATTATGTATATATATATATATATATATATATATATATATATATATGTATAAGATACCAAGATTCTACACAGCAAAAAGGGTTCTTCTATTGTTACAATGTCAGGACAATGCAAGAACCCTTTATACCCTCTATATAGAACCATCTACAACACATTCTCCATCAATCTGAAGAACCTTTTCACGATGCAAAGAACCCTCGAATCATGGAAAGGGTTCTTTGAATGTTCATGGTTCCATATAGAACTATTTTCTTTACTAAAGAACCCTTGAAGAACCATCATTTTTAAGTGTGTAGGGCTATTATGAGGTCATATGAAGGTAAATTCAGTAGATATTTAGGTCCATGTGAGTTAAATGCAAGGCGAGCATCTATAAAGCCCCTTCTGAGTGCTATCTACATTAAGCATTAGCCATTTTCACTAAGTTATGAAAGTGTTGTAATGACTCTTACATTCCCCTCAGATGTAGCTGGGGGTACAGAGGAGGGAACATGTGGCATGTGATGGAAGAAGGAAGGGAAGGACACGAGGACACAGCAGTTACGATTTTAGTCAATGCTTTTTGATAAGAATAATAAAAAAGAATAGGATGCGTGTGGAGATAAGATTCGACTCACCACTGATTAAGTATCAACATTGACTGGGTGATTCAACCAACCACAAAGGTGGACGGAAGACGGTGCCAAAGAAATGAAATAAAGAAACCAAAGTCTAATCTGCCTAGCCAGGTCTAATCCTCACCAAAATACAGCGGGAGGCACTCGCCCCTTACCTGATGTGTCTTAACAATAAAACAACCATCATGCATTTATAGGTGCGCCCAAACTTGCCTGTCCACACATCGCGCTGGAGGGAGAAAAGGGAGAGAGATAGAATAAGAGAGGGAGCAACGAAGCCGTTTACTGGCTACATTTTCAAGTCCATCGAGTAGCAGCTTAACTAAACTGCTGCAAAAGTCTCAGATAAGCTAAATGCTTCTATGCACGACTCCTCTCAGGTGGGTCCTTTTATTTGCCAAGACCTGCCCCTCAGTAGACAGCAGCAGCTCTGATTGGTGGGCCAAAAAGCACAACCAAGCCTCAGTGAAGTCCTCATTGGTCCATCGCACACCTGTATAGTAGTCTGTTTATGTGAAAGGGGAGAGAGAGACAAGACATACGTGCATCGCAGGGGCGTAACAGTGACTGTTCAGACCTTAAAAGCTAAAACAGACTCAATCAAACCTCAGTTATTGATCAATGTTAGTGTACATTAGCTGTAAATAAGGCATTATGTGTAAAGATGCGGCCTTTAGAGACAGATAGGCTGGTCTAGCAAACTGATTTTACAACAGTTAAAGACACATGTAAGTCCAAGGAGGTCAGGACAGTACAGTGTTGGAGGTGGCAGAAGATGTTGGAGGCCATCATGAAGGATCCTTGGCTGATCCTTTTATTTATAACAGCTGAAGTTCATTCATGCAGCTCCTAATGTTTTTCTGCCTGAACTTCTCGTCCAACATGTTGAGTAACCCTGGATAAGTGTGAGGTAAAAAACTCCAAAGTACTAGGTAACTATTTTGGGTAACATGAGGTAAGTAAGTCCCAGGCAGTCTAACTAAATTACACTGAAATGCCCTACAGGTTCTAGTTAGTAACTGGGTAAGTGTTGTAGTTAAGCACCATGCAATTATTTTGGATAAAAAGTGCGGGGTACCAGCTTAAAAAAAAGATGGTTCATCAAAGTTTACATGGTTCTCTATAGAACCATGAACACTCAAAGTGCTCTTTGCATGGATCAGTGGTACTTCAGATTGTGTTGTACATGGTTCTATAAATAACCTTTTTGAAAAGTGTTCTTCTGTTGTTCCAAGCTTGACGCTGTAACAAAAACAGAACCCTTTTTGGTGCTATATAGAACCATATACCACACATTCTCCAATCTGAAGAACATTTCACCAATGCAGTGAACCATTTAAGCTTTGAGTGTTCATGGTTCTATATAAAACCATTGCCTTTACTAAAGAATCCTTAAAGAACAATTTTTTCGTGGTTATAAGATGTGAAAATATTACAAATAAAGTACCAAGAGTCTTATTTAATAAGAACGTGTCTTTTACCTAGAAACCAATTTCAGTCTGGGCTGTAAAAGAAAGCAAGGACTTGGACTGTGGTTCTACTGGGTTCTTATCTGTTGGCCATTTCAGTGCAATTTAGTTAAACCGTCAGAATGTATCATCGTGTTATCCAAAATAATTATCTAGCACTTTTTAGGAGTTTGTACCTTACAACTGCCAGGCAGGTTAATACCTAGAACAGTAAAAACTGTAAAAACAAGCATTACCCCATGTTCTACATCTAACATCCTTAATGTATTCCACACTAAGTGTTCCACCAGATCTTTCTCCTGGCAGACTTTTCACAGTCGCTGGTGTGTCTCCCGGATCTCTCCTCTGTCTGATCCCAGTGCCTCTGTTTATTCTCTCTTGTAAACTTGTGCTTCTTGTATCCTAACTGCACTAAAATGAACTGAATTCAGTGTAAACTGACTGAACAAGGAAAAGAGCAGAGGCAGAATTTCTCCCTGTCTTGCTTGGTTCTTGCTTGCTTCTTTGCGTCCTCACTCTGAGGCTTACGTGTTGTCTTGTGGATGTTTTCCTCCTCAAAGCCTGTGCTTGGGAATTTTGGAGTTCCTGGACCCTGTAATTTTCCCACTGGCTTTCAGGAGGAGATTTATGGCCTCCGAACAGCTGCAGCAGCCAGACTTACATGAGTGGTTGTGCTGCTTTACTGAGAGGAAATGGCCTCTGAACATGATCCCTTATCTGATCTCTCGCTCCTTTTCTTTTCATGGTAAGTTCCTATCATAAAGGTCCCGCCGCGTAACTTGGTGAACGTGACCGGCAGCAGTGTGGTGTTCCTCTGTGAGGTGTTTGCCTTTCCCATGGCCCTCGTGGAGTGGAGGAAGGATGGGAAGGAGGTGATTTTACCTGGAGATGATCCTCACATATCTGTCCAGGTAAATATGCTGTTACATGTGGTTTGTGTCTTATTATGTTATGGTCATAATAATAATAATAATAATAATAATAATAATAATAATAATAATAATTATTATTATTATTATTATTATTATTATTAATGAACAGACAGTCATATGCAAAAGTTTGTGCACCCCTGGTCAATTACACAATAACATGGTTAATAAATCAAACAATCTGTTTACTTGTCTATCTTTATATATGTTTACTTGTTTATCTATCCATCTATCCATCTATCTATCCATCCTCCTGTAGTCCAGAGGAGGCCCTCAGAAGTATGAGCTCTCAAGTTGGCTGCAAATTGAAGAAGCTAGTCGGGTAGATTCGGGTACCTACAGATGCACCGCCAGGAATGAACTCGGTGACGTCTCAGCTACCGCCGTGTTGGGGATTTTGCCACCAGGTAACATAAATCTGTTACTCAATTTTTAAAGTACTCCATTTGAAAAATAGAGGTTTTTTACCTCTTGTGTGAACACTTCATAATAAATAGACCAAATGAAATTATTCAAAATTATTTGGAAAAAATGCTGTTCCTTTAATGTTAAGGTTGCAAAACCTTAACATGCTTTAAAGTATAAGAACCTACACTCAAGTCCTCCTTGTAGTGGAGCGGAGAACAAGTAAAAACGAACACTAAGTTTGAGTTATTTAAATTTCTAATAGTTAACAGAAATCTATGATTTATTCTCTCTTAACTTCTTATTTGAAGTCCAGTGAACTCAAAGTTTACCAGGTTACTTTTTTTTTTTAGCTAAACATTTAATAATTTTACCTTTGTACCATAGTCAGTATAAGAATTATACATTAAGAGGAACACACAGTTAGAAGAAACTTCCTGACTTCTCGCTGCGCTCCAGCCATCGCATCAACTTACTGTTATTTAATTGCAATTATACTATTGTTAGTAATTAAATAGACTCGGAAGTCGTGCATCATTCCGCAGTCACTATCATGACCAGATTAGGAACTCCAGGTCTAAGCTGGTTTTCTCTATTGCAACAATGATGGGATTTTCCAAATTCGACACAATTTGTATGTATGTTACTGGATCCTTTGAGTCACAAGGTTGTGGTCAAAATATGTTATGAGAAAGAGTCGAAATATGAAATTTACCACTGTGCACTGAATTGACATCATAAAACTGCCAACCTCACCAAAGTAACCCAAAAAAAAACAACAAAGCTTTGCTCAACTGCAAACATTAGAGGGAAAAATGTACAGACAAAAAGATGTTTTTCAAGCATTTTTTACTAAAGGCAATGCTTAATTTAAGCAGTTCACATGCTTAAATGGTTCTTTGCATGGTGAAATGGTTCTTGATTGATGGAGAATGAGTTGAATATGTTTCTATATAGCACCTGTTATCTTTACAATGTCACTATAGTCACTATAGAAGAACCTTTTTGGTGCTGTATAGAACCATTTTCAACATTTTCAAACGATTTTTCCATGCAGCGAACCAATTAAACAGGCAAATTGTTCTATATAAAACTCATGGTTTTAAACAGAACCATTGCTTTTTACGAATGAAGACCTGAACTCCCTAATATGGACACAGAATCATGCACAACATCGGCAAGTCGAGGTCTGTGCTTACTGTCTAGACTGTCTAGATCTTTAATTAAAGTTCAGTAAGGTCCAGTTAAAGAAAATTTCCTCAAGCAAAGGTCCGGAACATCATAATGTCTAATTGTATCATGATTCCATGCCATATACTGTAAACTAAAGCAGCCTAGTAGGTATATCAACATCTTATACAGTCAACAACTGAATGTCAAATCAAATGAAGTACAATTCAGTCATATTTCAACAATGTTTATTGTCAGTTTTCTCTTTTTAGAGCACGACATGCAAAATAATCTGGCTCACTTTCTTCTCCAACTGTTGTGTCTCGCCTCATCCTTTCCCTGTGTGTGCGTCACTCAGTCCAGTCTCAGTGCTCATAGTAATGGACAGATCTGATTGGCTGAGTAGCGTCACGTGTGATATTTACAACGCATGCGATTGGTCTGTGAGTTTCCGGGGTGCTAAACCGGTACCATAATGACTAAAAATCATACACCGATTAAAACAGTACGACCCCGTCGAAATAAAATAATTATCTGTAGTTTATCGGTTATAGGTCCAGGTCCGCAGAGGACAGCATCTGGGTCCGGACTCGGACCGCGGTCCACCTATTAGTGACCTCTGGTCTAGACATTTACCTTTACATATCTTTTTCTCAGATGTCTATGACTTTTGCACAGTACTATATTACTATATCATCTATAGTACTATATCATCACTGTCCAGAGAAAAACATCTCCATTTCTGTCCAGCTTAACTTTTCTACATTATTTGAGCTCAGCAGCTGTCCTTTACAATTTCATTATAAATGGACCAATAAAAATGCTCCAAAATCACTTTCAATAACACCTCTTTTCATTAACTTACATTAGAAGTAAAGAACGTTTCTGCTCTCTCCTGCAAACTTGCTATTTTGAAAATGCTTGTTTTTCTTTGGACAGCGATGATATATATTTACCTGACACTGATCCCATAAATGTTGTTTTTCCTTAGATGAGATGTCTGCCTATATAGCAGAAAACATCAAAGACTTGGCTGGATACGATCAAATGAGATACTACGAGACTGGAGACTACTACTGACTCACTTCAGATCCAGAAAAAGAAAAACACAAATAGACATCACAGTCGATCTGAAAAGACATCTCAGCGAGAAACTTTGTGTAAGTCTGCAAAAACATCTCCTGACCGGGGAACGTTGGTGGAACACTGGGGGAACATTTCAGCCAGTGTGAAATCCCCCAGCACAATCCACTGAGGAGAAACAAAAACACACAGAGACCCCAAAGAGGCAAAGGTGGAGAAGAAGGGTTGGGGTGGGGGGGGTGGGGGGTCACCCTGCTGGGACTGGAGCAGCTAGCAGCTTGGAGGTTTTATTAGGATACGAGTGAGGATGAATGTCTCTTTTGTTTTAATGTCCCCTTGTGACCAACTGTGTGAAGAACACTGCCAAACTCAGACATTCCAAGCAGAAAAGTGTCACCGTTTGTTCGAGGTTTTGTCCGGACTGTCCTGCCCGCTGCAACTCTTTCTACAGTCTCTATTTTGGTTTCGTCCTCGAGCGCCAAGTCGTAACATATCCTTTCCCGTCTTCTTGAGTGGAAAGCATCGGCGTCTATGTTTATATATTTTTCCATATGTGGCAATATGTGTGCATGGCTGCGAGTCCGATTTTTTGCGGGAGCCCACAGCTGTTTTTCCTTAAGACCTTCTGTCTAAAGGCCTCAGCACAGACTTCCTATTCTCCTTTTCATGTGCCTTCAAGGTGCGGACCCTCATCTCCTTTAATAAAAAACATGAGCCACTGTGAACGAGACACTAACATAGCAATCTTACCACCCTATAATTTTTCCTCTCTTTAATTGGCTGGTTCGGTCCTCACTCCTGAAGCCTGTGGATACATAGCATAGCAAATGAAGTGTTCGCTCATTTTGTCCATTCATGTTTTCAGATGGAATATATTTATAATAACAGGTACGCTGCGTAATGTATAGGTTAGTTTTTGAATATTAGAGCACACAGATTTCTAGACAGAGTCTACTTTAAATGTAGAGTCAGCAGTGCTTAAATCAGTTATTTGAAGCAGTAAAGAAAAACTTTGACCGGGTACTTTTATGCAGTACCTTGCTTTTAAAGACACTAGACTAAATAAAGGAGCAGTAATCAAATACGTCCTCTGGGTCCATTCATACGCCTTTCTGCAGAACTTTCAACTGTTAAAGTAATTAGACCTGAGCCAAGTGTAAAACACTCCACAGTAGGAGCCTAGTGGAACGGTCTGGTTCTGTTTAGCCTTAAACAGGAGTGATTCAGCAGTAGGGCTGATATATTATACCTGGCGCTGATGCAGTAATAAAGTACTGATCCTTCTTGAGTGCATGCTCTGTTCTTACAGGTGGTTAAGTGTTCTCCGCTCCAACACGGTTTTTGTAAGATGTAAAAGGACACTCCTGTCCAAAATGAGAAATTTAACCTACATTTGATATAAACATGTCTGTTCACATCCTGGAGTGGTAATGAAGTAGAGTCTAGCCAGGTGCTCGTTTTATTATTAATATTATTATTATCTATTATTATTAGTAGTAGCAGTACTAGTATTAGTAATCATATAAATATATAGTGTTTAATACTAAATTTCGTTTCATAATTCCATTCATTTCTTAGTTCTGATGTGCTGCATCCTGAATGAATCCACAAAGGCAGACATAACTAACTATCAGTGTCTGTTTTTACATGCAAAGACATTCGCCAATCTGACTGAATACAGCAGCGCTTGTGTTTTTAATTGCTTTAAAATGATGTCAGACTCAGGAAAACGTCCTTCACATGTCCTTATTAAAGAAGGCCGAGAGGAAGACGTCGTGTTCTGAGACGCATAAGCTGGACGTCCGTCCCACCGCCGTCTTTTAAAGATCAGAGCATAAACTTCGTCTCCTCTGCAGACCAGTTTCTGCTCCGCCATGTTGAACGGTATAAACTCTCACTATGACGTGACGAGCATTGGGAATGTAATCAGATACAGGCATTTACTCAGTTGTTATTCTTTTATTTAATGGATTATTAACAGAAGTACCCACCTTGTTCAATCGGATAGACATTGTATTGTAATTGTATTGCATTGTAATTACACAGATGATTTAACCTGTATGAACTGGCCCATCAAAATTATGCACATTACATTACTGGACCTCCTCTGGTAAAACTAATCCAGCTCCAAAAGGGCAGTTACAGTTGTCCATGCTGCGTCAGGTGGTCATTTGAATGGTTCCTTTCGCACGTAGCCCTCTACTTCTTTTTTCAACATTGCAAGCTGATTTTACAGTTGGGTAATCAGACACAGCCTGGAGGGTGAAGCAGATTTACTCTTCAGATATAAACATTGACCAAAAGAAACCATCAGTATGCGGTGATCCATATGAAGCTGTCTCAGACCCCTGCTCTAAAGTGAGATTTTCTGCTTTAAGGACTAGACTATCAAGATTGGAGGAACTTTAAAAAAAACTACAGCTGTCTAGGGGTGAATTTTGGTTGTTTTGAAATGTTTTTTTTTCCATTAAGTTGTAAATGCAGGAGAAAGTCAGATAGCTAACGTTACTGCTAGGAAGCTGAACATCTCATTGCAACTGTAGAAAACTGTAGTCTTTTCCAAACTCAGGTAAGGTGTCTAGGTAGCCACCTTGCTAACTTTACCTAGCCATTTCTGTCATCATTCTCTCCATATGAAGAGAACAACAAGCTAAAAGGTAAAGTTAGCAAATTATCAGTATGATATACGATATACTTTATTGTCAGATTTCTCTAAAAATTGAACTTGCATCACAGCGGCTCCATGGGAAAATGGGGGTGGGGGAAGGAAAGATGGCTTTCACAAACAATCAGACAAACACACTACAACAAACCACAACAACACACTTTACACCATCACCAGATTCCACTATACATCCTACAACCCCTAATAATGTTACTCCATGTGTACTCAAGCAGTTCCCTCTTTTTGACCAAGTGTCACAACTGACTGAGGGATACAGGAATTCTTAAACCTGTTAAGTTGTGACTATTATAGTCACCATACAGCACATGCAATGGATCAGACAAAACACCACACACTAATCTTTCCATACTTTTCTGTAGGCCAGTGGTCGGCAACATGTGTCTCTAGAGCCGCATGCGGCTCTTTTACTGCCCTGTTGCGGCTCCACAGCAGAATCAGATTTGTAGGTAAAAATAAAATAATCCTCCTTTACAGTAAAATAAAGCTCTGCTGATCGTTCAACACAGTTTAACAATAAATGGTCTCAAACTCTGGAGTTAATGTAGAACTGCTAATTCACCCTTTAACCCTGAAGATCAGCTCAGACTGCTGGCAAAAGCAACACAGACAACAGTCTCGCCAAGTGAGTAGCTAACAAAAAGGCAAAGAGAGAGATTCATATCAGTCTGAACAATGTGGTCTTTTATTTCACCGAAAGACAACTATACCATGCTGTCACACAGTATTGCATCACACTCTGGGTTACTCAGATGAACTAGATGAATCTGATTATTGACGCTGAATGAACTTAACCTACGGCAAAATAAATACATTGGTGTAGCAACAGATCTAATTGATATGACTATTCCATAAAAAGTGTTGCATCTATATGTACACTAAGATACTTATTTGACATAACCTGCTTAATTTCCTGATTAGGTGGATGTGAATCAGGAGAGATCAAAAATAATCTCCTCTGTCTTCTTTGCATTAATAATAAGAGCATTCTATGTATCTGACTACTTAGATACTTCACCTCAGTTTGGATTCTTTCCTCTGGCTGAAAAGATAAAAAATGTGCTAAGCAATCACTGTAAAGATTTTGTTTAACAACTGAGGAAAGAGATACATCAGCTAGCTTGTATTTAATGGTCTGTAGATCTGTGGCTTGGCTAGCAGTCAGAATTGGCTGACACCACCGGGATTCCCAATGGTCGTATGATGTATTTGCATTATGAATGTTGCACACTCAGGTAGTAAACTGTCTCTGGGGCAGTGCCCCTCTTGTCACTGGGGTGGGACCCTCAAGGCTCCATCTCAGTACCTTTAGTCAGGGAACATAACTGAACCATAATCCACTGAAATGATATGTTCTAAGCTGTACTGACTCCACACACCCCGTCTCGTCTCCAGGACTTTATTTTACTGTATTGTTTTAAAACATTCGGTTATGAAAAGGTACAAATACGAACTTTTCACCTGGAAAAACTTATTTAAGGTTCTCAATCAGACCTTAAAACCACTGTTGTACCTTTGATTGAACATTTACAGTGTTTGCACCCTGATGAACGAAAATGTGCCTGAACAGAACCTTTATTTCTAACAGTAGTGAATGAAAACATGATATATGATCGTGAAACTGACTGAGACAAATGGAATGCCTCTAAGATTCTGTGTGTTGCCAGACTGTGTTTAGTTTCCGATGGATGGTGGTATCTACAGTATATGTTTTTCCTTAGTATTTTACTCGCCTCTACGGACTCGGTGCATTCCTTTCCAGTTTCCTTTGGGCTTGTATGGAAAACGGGAGAAATAATTAGGGGATTGTACGAGAGCCGAGAGGCAGGAGCTGGGGCTCCCCCACTTTCCTCAAGCATCCACCAATATCCTGTGCAATGAAAACACATTACTGGCACAGAGCAGTGAAAGACAGTCGGAGTCGAGGACTTCAGTTCACCTTCGCAAATGTGCTAAAAAGATTACAGCAAGTTTGAAGCAGCTGACACTGAAATCCCCCTTAAAACGTAAACGTCTAAAGGAAGCAGGGCGCGAGAGAGGACTGTGAATTCACTACCCGGTGTTCTGTTTAAAAGATGCATTCCATAGGATCACAAGCAGGAGAAAAGAGGTTGGGCATTGAAGTTTCCTACAGTGTTTCTGCACAGCTCATGCTGCCACATGGAAGCCATTGGGAAATGCCTCCCCACTCTCCAAGGCGAATGCCTCCGTCTGATTTAAATAAAGCAAACCAATTCCAGACCCTATGGCCTCACAAAAGGTTTTTGTATGTTTTTATTTCTTTCAAAGAACAGATAATATCCATAAATGAGAATTCAGCAAGAAAGCCCTAATGCTCTGATGGAACGTGTAAAGCAATTACAATGAACATTGAGAAATTCCGACAAACCACAAAATATGAACATAGCGAAGTCTCTAAAAGTCATCTGAGGCAAAGTGCTCGGCTGATTCATAACGCTGAGTGACTGTTACGCTATGGTGTGCATTCGGGTTTGTGACAGACTCTTTGTCCACATTGAACAAACAAACAACAAAATCTGCTTTTGATTTTGCAAACGTTTGGCAAAGGAATGGGATGTTGTGCATGCCATGCTAGTGAGCTGGGCACTGACTAAAACCTCAGAAGGACAGATGTGAGTCTCAGATTGACTTAGTAGGAAACTTTAATTGCCACCTCCACATCATGCAGACAGAAGCAGGCTTGAAATGTCTCAACAGAAAACAGACATAAAGCTTAAGTGCTTAATACGCAACTTACTCAAACATGTGTGAATTACGTATTACTAAACATGATCAAACAATTTGAATAATGTGTTTCTTCCTGCTAATTCTAAAATTCAGTTCTATGATACACAGGGAAATGAATTTGGTACTACCATGCAGATTTCAACAGAGGGCGCACCAAGCGCACTCAGTGACAACTGCTTGGAAAACTGAGTCATTAACTGAACCAGAGCCGGTTTATGGGGAGACGATATAATACAATCATCTGTGCAGCCTATTAAATTTAATTTGATAGTATAATCATGCAAAATGTACTGGCTGGAGCCGTTTGTGGTGGTTGAATTCCAGTCTTTGATACAGGATTTTTGTGCTCTTTTAAACCCAATCATGTTACTGACCTGTTGCCAATTAACCACCAGGTGTTTTTTTTTAAGCATTATGCAACTTTACCAGTCTTTTGTTGCCGCCATCCCAACTGTTTTTAGAATGTGTTGTTGGCATCAAATTCAAAATGGGCAAATATAAAAAACTAAATTTTTCGTTTCAACATTTGATATGTTGTCTTGGTACTAAATTCAATTAAATAGAGGGTTTGATGATTTGCATGTCATTGGATTTTGTTTTTATTTACATTTTGTACAGCTTCCCAACTTTTTTGGAAAATGGGGTTGTATTAGCACGATAATTTACTGTGATCATTTACTCAGAAATAATAAACTTCATGAATTCTTAATTGTGTTGTGTTAATTTCGGCATCATGTAACAAAATAAACAAATAAAATAGCACGACAGTTTTCCGATTAAGAATGACTACGTTCATAATGAACATTGCTTTAATGAGTAACAAACTTATTATAACAGGATCTGTTGTTGTTAATATGATACAGATTGAAGAATAGTCTGGGTCATTCTCTATTGGAGTGGGAATCCAGGCGGATACATTATTTAAAAAATCTGTTTTTCATCCCAAAAATAAACAATGGTAATATGTTGATTAACATATATTATCATATATGCAAAATGGAGAGCTTAATTCC